GGCATTTTTATATAGCGCTTACCTTAAAGCTCTAAGCGCTTTACAATTATTAAAAACATGTAAACTAAGTAAAATAAAAAAATGAGACACTAGGATAGTAACTACTATACTATAGAAAAAAATTAAAATGGCTATAAAACGAGGACACTTTGGCACGTTTTGGCCTATACTACAGGATCAACCCGAGACAGAAAATGAGGCAGGGCAAGGAGGGTGCATCACAGGTCATAGGCGGACCTAAACAGATGGGTTTTAAGGGACTTTTTGAATAAACATAATAAACATGGAGACTTATAGGAAGATAAGAAACACGGAGACTTATAGTAACATAAGAAACACAGACTAATAGGAACATAATGAACATAGAGACTTATAGGAACATAAGAAACACAGAGACTTATACGAACACAAGAAACATAGAGACTTATAAACTTATAGGAACATAAGAAATATGGAGACTTATAGGAACATAAGAAACATAGAGAATTATGGGAAAATAAGAAACATAGAAAGGACATCTTTAACACAACCAAGCCAATATTTGATGTCATATTTAGACAAACTTATTGTGTTTGGACTTTAAGGAGGTTTAACTGAATGTACAACATGTAAATAATTGAATTAAATAAGTGAAATCTACTATAGACTGAATTCTGAGTTTAAAAAATGATGCCTTTGAGACATTGCTATCCTCTTAAAATGTATCCATCCATTCAGGGACTTAGTTTTACTAAATATGCTGATTGGGGGGCTAAGTCACAAATTTACGATTCTCTCTTCCACACATTCACAAACATCTACTATGTGAAGAAGTAATCAAAATAAAGTAGTAACAAACCTTGACTGTGAACCCCTAAGTACCCCTAGCACCCTTTATGCAGGTTCCTGAACTATGTGATAACTCTTATGTACTATTCTTTTAAAGCACATAGAATTAAGCTCTATTTTCCTGAATAGATGCGTGAAGGCGCAACGCTCTTAATTTAACTTGAACGTTAAGCCGTTTGAAAATGCTTTTCTTTTACTCTTTACCCTTTACTCTCTATATTTGACGATATTTTTTAATTACAGTTTTTGAGAAAAGGGGATTATGACCAAACTTTCCAGGAACCATGTATAGGTCAGGAGGAATGACCGTGTCAAAGTTGGTTGCAATCTGTTTTTGGTTTTCTTGTGATTGATCGACCCATTTCAAAACAAACAACCACTTCCTTTTTTTTTTAGGGCTATGTCCGACATGTCTTTAGTGCCATGCTGGCTAAAGAGGCCCTGCCACTGGCTCCCTAGGGCTACCCAGGGAACATAACCACCATTGCATGATCCAGCGTGGGCAGACAAAGGGCATGCATAGTACGATTAGTACCTGCCGGAATTTGTAGTGACTACATTATGAACTGTAGCCTTTGCGAGCTGTGGTCACGTCTGCAGTTGAAACAACGGAAGAAACATGGTAAGGATCATGAGAACTATGTTGCCGATGATATGTGAGGCGGGTGGTAGTAGCGGGAGTAGATTCTATACACACATCCACAGAGGAGGCTGTTCCTGGGCAACCGTTTTGTCCCAGCTACTTCGTGAACAATTTACAAGGCAGAAACCCGCTGTATCTCTTGAAAGCACTATAAGATGGCAGCCGACGGTTGGTTGGGGTGGGGGGTGGGGGGAGATAAGACCTAAATGCACCATCCTGATCCCTTGGGAAGTTGATTGATGTTGTGAGAACAACATCACCAACCGACTGGACGTCCTTAGGCCGAGATGGCCACCGTGAAGCTAGTCAGTCGAGTGAAGTTACGGGCGGGGGTCTGTCCTGGCAGGGGAAGATCTCCAACGTGCCGCTTCAATGTCCGATAGTTAGGGGACTTTTCGCTCTTGAGTGGAGAAAGGGGGAAGGGGGGTGGTTGGCGCTTTGGGGATGACATTAAAGAGCTTTGGCTCGACGGTTCGCTGACGCCATTCCCTAATGTACTAACAAGCAAACAAACATGGTCACACTGTGCTTTATCTAGTAGTAGTAGATTATAGATACAGATGGAATAGGATCGGTAGCGCAGGCTGTCATCGTGTTCTTAATAATTTAATAATGCAATTTCCAAATTTGATCTCTCCGTTACTCAGAACAGTGCTACTGACTGTAAGACTACCGCACAAATTTTTAACAACAAACAAAACATCGCCCACGTTTAAATTAAAAAAGTAAACAAACAAACTTGGTTTGCTCCCCGACCCCCTGAGAAGAATTCTTTTCAAAGCCTTTTTTTTTTTTGGCGTGTAATTCCTAGTTCAAAAATGTCTGCGATGGACAGTGCTCTTGAGAATTGCTCATTTCTACTGTTACCCGAAGAAGGCTTTACACCGAAACGGCCTTATCTTTTTGTCCTGTTCTCTAATTCAAGCTTTCACATACCTCGTTTTGCTATTTCATTCATATACTAGGCTTGAATGCAGTCCTTTAATTAAATTCTTGAGAAGGGATCACATAAAATCTTCCTGCACACGCTATTTGTTTGACCTCTGTTGCTCCATAACTGGACAGTGTAAATGGTATAACGTCAATCACTTAATGCTCTCAGATATGAAATAGAAGTGTGGGCGGTACCGTTTTCAAAAAAAAAGACTATGGTTATGTATATCATTTGTTTTAATGTCACATCATGTTATAACTTATCATGATGGGAATATCAAGTAATTTAGGTTTACATAGGCGTGACAGACAACGTGTTTCCATTTAAACGGAACTCTGCTAAACGGAACTTTGCTAAACGGAACTTTGCTAAACGGAACTTTGCTAAGTTTTAAGTCCATTTTGATGGACTAGGCGTTGACGTACATGGAAATAGTATTGGTAATTAGCCAACTATGCACACTTAATCAATCGTGCGAGTGGGAGGTTGGTGCGATTGGCAGGTTGGTGGGAGTGGGAGGTTGATGCGAGTGGTAGGTTGGTGGGAGTGGGAGGTTGATGCAAGTGGGAGATTGGTGTGAGTGGGAGGTTGATGCGAGTGGTAGGTTGGTGGGAGTGGGAGGTTGATGCAAGTGGGAGCTTGGTGCGAGTGGGAGGTCGATGCGAGTGGTAGGTTGGTGGGAGTGGGAGGTTGATGCAAGTGGGAGGTTGGTGCGAGTGGGAGGTTGATGCGAGTGGTAGGTTGGTGGGAGTGGGAGGTTGATGCAAGTGGGAGGTTGGTGCAAATGGGAGGTTGGTGCAAGTGGGAGGTTGGTGCGAGTGGGAGGTTGCGAGGCAGACCGAGATTTGGGGTTTTTGTGAATGGAATGGGGGGGGGGGGGAGTTAAGAGGGGGGGTTAAAAAAGGTGGGTTGAGAGGGTGAGGTAAAAGGGTGGAGGTTGGTGCAAATGGGAGGTTGGTGCAAGTGGGAGGTTGGTGCGAGTGGGAGGTTGCGAGGCAGACCGAGATTTGGGGTTTTTGTGAATGGAATGGGGGGGGGGGCGAGTTAAGAGGGTGAGTTAAAAAAGGTGAGTTGAGATGGTGAGTTAAAAGGGTGTGTTGAGAGGGTCAGTAAAAAGGGTGAGTTGAGATGGTAAGTTAAAAGGGTGAGTTGAGAGGGTGAGTTTAAAAAGGGTGAGTTGAGAGGGTGAGTTTAAAAAGGGTGAGTTGGGATGGTAAGTTAAAAGTGTGAGTTGGGATGGTAAGTTAAAAGGTTGAGTTGAGATGGTAAGTGAAAAGGGTGAATTGAGATGTTGTGTTAAAAAGGATTAGTTGAGATGGCAAGTTTAAAGGGTGAGTTGAGATTTTAAGTTAAAAGGGTGAGTTGAGAAGGTAAGTTAAAAGTGTGAGTTGAGATTTCAAGTTAAAAGGGTGAGTTGAGATGGTGAGTTAAAAGGGTGCGTTAACATGGTGAGTAAAAAAGGGTGAGTTGAGATGGTGATTTAAAAAGGGTGATTTGAAGGGTGAATTGATATAGTGACGTAAAACGGGTAGGTTGAGTTGGTGAGTTAAAAAGGGTGAGTTGAGGGGGGGGGGGGGGAAAATTATAAATTGAATTAAAATGGGTATATTGAGAGGGGTTGTTAAAAAGGTTGGGTTAAAAAAAGAGGGTGGGGGGGGTGAATTGATATAATTATTGATATAATTAAAATGGGTGAGTTGAGAAGGTGAATATAAAGGGTGAGTTGACGGGTTTAGTTGAACGTGATGGAGATGGGGTACGAATGAGTCTGTAATTGCAAGTCTGTTCGGACACTTAAACGCGAGCTGAGGATGAAAAAGTTTCTCGACAGTTTAATCCTGCGTTTTGGCAGTTTGCGCAAATGTTCGACACGCTTTGAGGAGGAATGAATACAGCCGCTGAAAATGGCTTTGGGTCATGGGGTGGTGAACTCAACAAATGATATCTAGGGTGGCGTAGCTAGGGTTAGCGCCAAGATTTTTGCCACCCTTCCAAAAAAAAAAAAAAAAAATATTTGCCAAAAATCACACCCCCTCATAAAAAAAAAAAAAGTGCCATCAGTCCCCAGGAGCGGACCGTCACCTCCGCAAACCCCTTTCCTACGCCACTGTACCTATCGTCTCACAGTGGTGGTGGTCTCGGGCGGGAAGATTCATGCATTCACACCCATAATATAATAAAAAGTTCAAGCAGTCTAAATTCATGATGAAGTTAAAACCCATTGCAGGCACAGGCTAAACTGCACGCTAACGACTTCACTCATGCCAAAGTTTAGCAGGAAGTCTGTTTTATTGGTTTTTTTATAATAACCTTTTTTTTAAAAAAAAACTCTTATTTGAAGGTGGGTGAATGTAATTGTATCATATATGCCTATAATAAATCTAGGTGGACCATTTGAAGCTTGGCAATAACTATTAGGAGGAGACAACTACGTCCGGTGATGTTCAATATAGTTGTACAATAGTTACCGCTCCAAACTTTTTGTCAGAGGGGGGGGGGGTCCATTAATATCATAATAAGACAGATGGAATTAGTGACCAGCCAACACAATTCATTCAAAACACTTGCTATTCAAATAGGAGAACAATTGGTCCTGCCGAGAATACAAGCTTTAATTCATAATTGTACAGGAACATTAAAATATATTGCACTTGCGTTACACAATAATTTTTACAAGACATTGAGAAATAAAGGAACAATTTTGGGGTGAAGATTTAAGTTGTTTAGTATAAGGAACTGCTACCACGATTTTTGCTTTACTCTATGATTGCTGCTACTGAAACTAACAAGACAAAATCATGGTGAAACCAAGATCTATCTACCATGATTAATTTCTATCTATCATGATTAATTATTGGCTTCCTTTCATCTTGTTTGTCTTCATCCAGCCTATGATTGGGTGCTGGGTGGCCGAGCTGTTTGTCTTCAGCCAGCCTATGATTGGGTGCTGGGTGGCTGAGCTGTTTGTCTTCAGCCAACCTATGATTGGGTGCTGGGCAGCCAAGCAGTCTAAACTGACTCAACCCAAATAGCTGGTGGTCTGGAGTTCAATCCCCACCAAAGCCAAGACAAGCATTAACAGCCCAAGCACCCCGGGTGGATGGGACCCATTAGTCTTGGACTCTTGGATGGCAACTCATCTAAGGGAAGGCGAACTCTGAATTCAAACCAGGGGAGCCAGACTGATCAGTAAATTGATCGTTGGCCCTCAAATGGAAAAAAATGATAGAAATATTTTAATTTTCAGCATTTTCATTTCTTTGTTATTTATTTATTTACTAGTATTTTGTTAATTGTAATTTTGTAATTGGTTAAATTATGAAAGGGATTGAAAAAAATAGTTGATCTTGCACACAAATTTTTTAAAAAGGAAAAAAATAAGAAATATTCCTACATGATACATAGATTTAAATTTTTAAGTTGTTTAGAAGATGTGGGTCTCAAATCTTAATCTTGTTAAAGAAATTAAGATTTAGATGAAAAAAAATGATGGCCTGATTAAAAATGTAATGAATAAAATGAAAGAGAGGCAATGGATGTTAACACGTGAGGTATGTACAAAATAATGTACCCATAACCATCTACACCAGTGGTTCTCAACCTTCCTAATTCCGCGACCCTTTACTACAGTTTCTCATGTCGTGGCGACCCCCCAACCACAATTATTTTCGTTTTTCTTCATAACTGTAAGTATATGTGTTTTTAGATCGTCTTAGGCGACCCCTGGGAGAGGGCTCAGCGACCCCCAAAGGGGTCAGGACCCACAGGTTGAGAACCGCTGATCTAAACCAAACCCTACTTTTACTTAACCATTCACATATAATGTGTGAATTATAATCAAGTAAATTGATCGGTAACTTTTAGTTTAAAAATTTTCTCTGAAGTTTAAGAAAGCAGCACATTTAATTAAAAATCAAAGAAAAAAACTACTTTGATAGAAATATCAAACAAGCATCACAATATTTAATCACTTCCTAATGTCATATTCTCTACATAATATTATTACTAATCTAAATAATCGAAACTGAGGCTGCAAGTAAGTAGTTGTTTCAACATGAAATGATAGTTTATTAATGCAAAATAATATTTAATTAATTGGTGGTTTTTTTAAAGAGGCATTCTTCAAGTGTTTTTGAATTTCTAAAAAAGCAGCATGACGTAAATAACATCAGATAATCATGAATGTATACATGATGATTCATTGCAAAACATATTTCTTCCCCAGAGGAAATAGTGAAATAAAATTGTGCCCACAAACATATAGAAAATTATTAGCCTTGACTTAACCTCAAATTTAAGCACTTCCTAATATCTGGGCAAATCATTGATGACAAGGATTACATTAATGGTTGACTCACATGAACCCCAAAAGTACCATTGGATTTAAAACTCATAAAATTCCAGTGGTTGACCATGGCCATGACAAGCAAAAGCTGCGCCTGGGTCAAAGCCTGAATTTTGGTGCAATCTTCCCCAGAAGTTATATATTAATACAAATATTTTGCATGAAAAATGAAAATTTTGGGTGGCCCCTTTAAACGGCCCCCGACCAAGGGTGTATCATTGAGTGAGGCCTACTTTAGAACACAAAATTAAAATATCCAGTAAACAAATTAATTAAAGAAGTCAGTGGAGATAACATCAATTTAATGTGTACTTTATGCACACAAACAATTCTTCAAAATTTGATGTTAAAGGAAGCCACCTAGAACGGGATCCATCCAGAAAAATTCAAACTTAGAATTTATAAAACTATTATTAATGAAAGTTAGTAAAAACTCTGATTGCGAGTAACTTTGGTTTCCCAGTATTTCCCAAGATTATAGAAAATTTTTAAATAAAATTTGGCTCACAATACAAGCATGAAGTTTGTATCAAGCATCACACTATCACATTTTTAGTGACTTTTCTTTAGTAACTGCACTGCAACAATGGCTCCCATAAAGAAAAAAGTTGAAAAGGAAGGTAACAGCAAGTGTCGCCGGGTGGGTAGGTTCCTTGCTGAAGTCACACAAAAAGGAACTGATTTCAGCACGCCATTGATAGCTGTGCTTAGGTTGGTGACAGCGACAGTTGCCTACACGATTTAGTCAGTGACAGTTGTCCTGCACGATTAAGTTCGTGACAGTGAAAGTTGTCCTACACAATAACCCTTCACCAGCAATTATTAAATTTAACTAATACATTTGATCAATAGTATAATAAATTAAATAATAAAAGTTTTAAAATTAAAAAAAAAAAATACTCAATAATCAATGAATATTTGGGTTGTGGAACAAATATGTGATATTACCTTTTTTTCTTTTGAGGAAGTTCACTATGATATAGGTGTGCTTTGGATTTTGAGTATGGTTCTGGAACAAATTATGCTACCCATCCGAAGTTTTACTATATTTGTTTTTTTAATTACTTTGGAAAACTTATCATTTGAGAGTAATTAAAGGAAAGGAAGCTGATAGACTTAATTTAACAATGACTACTTCCACAAGTGACAAAGAATTAAAAGAAGCTGCTGCAAAAAAGCATGTATAACTTTAAATCAACTTTCATTGGAACAAAAGGCTGAAAGTTCTATTTTCCTTTCCCGTGAGGCTTGAAGTGCTGGTAGTAACTGACAGTGATATCACACATTAGATCTTGTGTACAGTCTGGGAGTTCAGCTATCATTTTGCCTAGTAAAAAAAAGAAAGAAAGAAAAGGGTTGATTTTACTTTATATACCCTGAGGAGAATGTGTAATTTTGATTAATTAAGCCAAGAAACTATCATTGAAATTCATAAACTGTAGCAAAAAAAATATGAAATCTTTTAACGGCATCATTAAAAAAAAATAAAAAATGTTGCTACTATTCATGATCAACAATGAAAATAAAAATTAATGTAAAGCAGTGCTGTGGAGATGGCTACGCTGTAAAACTATAAGCATTGATAAAGAGGAAGTTTGCACAAGTTATTTTTTTACTGGTTGTTTATATTGTTGAATGTTTATGAAACTGACACAAAACCTGATGGCCAAGTTCCTGGTATAAAGTCTCTTTGGTCATCCAAAGCCCAGTTAACATTAAAATTTATAGAAACACATCTGAACACTCAATTTGAATTCATAACAAGAAAAATAATAACCAGCGGTTATGAAAGTTTTATTAAGGTTTGCTTTACCTGGGGAACCAGAGTAAAGAGTAAATGGTGGAATAACAGATTCTGGTGGTAGTATTGTATTGTCTGCTATTGCACAGCAGTCTTTTAGCACTGACCTTCGACCCTGGAAAGTAGCAAAATATTGGTACTGATGAAAACTTCAAATACAAAATTAAAAATGATTCCTCTCACAATTTTAAAAAAAAAATGCTTTAGGCATCATTGGAAAAAAAAAAAAAAAAAAAAAAGTAATAACGCAAATAATATTAAAAAAAAAAAAAAAAAAAAAAAAAAAATTCCTCCCAAAAAAAAAAAAAAAAAAAAATTTTAAAAAAAAAGAAAAAAAAAAAAAAAAAAAAAAAAAGTTATAACGCAAATGATATTCATTTGAAATATTCAAGATTCATTAGCAGTAAAAGTATTAAAATTAAAAAATTTACTCACAATTACACAATTCTTTCCTATATGCACAAAAGAGCCTATCTGGGCAGCATTTACTATAGAATCCTCCTCTATTAAAACATGGTCTCCGATATGAAGTGGAAAAAATGCCACTCTAAAATAAAAGTTGTTCTTTTCATAAATTTAAACTTTATATATACATTGATATGTAGCATGGATAATAAAAGTTTTAAATTATTGATAAATAAATTAATATCCCTTATTCCAACAGCTAACTATAAACATCACGATAACAACATAAGTGGTAAATACTTCATTTCTAAAATCTTGTTTGTCATGTAGTAACATTTTGTTTAGTTTTATGACTTCCTGTTCTTTATCATAGGTCAAATCGTGGTGTGACCAATTTTCTATCCACTTCTAACAAACATATTGTCTTCAATGTTTGGACATATGTTTATCTCTAGTGACTTTACAGTGTTTAGTCCAGTAAAATTTTTTTATTAATTTCAAGAACTGGATGGGCTTAAAAGTAAAATAAAAATATTTTGAAACAAATTTTAATATATAATGTTTAAATATATTTTTAAAAATATACTAAAAGCGTTAAGTATTTTTTTTACTATCACAACATGTTTAATCCAAGTGCCTGAAAAATAAAGTCCTATGGGCGGACATCCATTATCACACTGCTTCCATGAATCAGAGATGTTAAATTAAGCATCTCCATAAGATTATTATTACTTCACCGATCACAATATTCTAAAAAAATATTCCCATCATTTCCATCAAAACTATAAATTTATCACGGGTGCCCCATGACTTTATTTATTTTTAGTCTCATAAGACAACATGGTGTGAAAAATATATTTTTTTTTTATCATTTATTAAATTTTGATTGCATGTATTTAATTATTGTCTTTTCCACCAAACTAACCAATGAAGACTATTGTTTCAGTTACCATATGTCCTCAAGCTGATTAATGCCTCATTCTTGCAGTAACTTTGCAGTAATTCCTAACATTAAGCCAAAGAGAGCTGTTTAATTGAAGCCAAAGAGAGCTGTTTAATTGAATTTTAAGAAATAATTTGACAAAGATTTTAATAGTGGTTTGTGTTCACTTGACCACTGATCATAGACACATGTTCTATGTCAGCATATAATATTAAACATACCCCTTTGAAAACTTCTTGAAAGCTGGACGAATCACCGAATTTTTCCCAATAATGCAATGCCTGCCAATTCTCACATTAGCTAAATCACCACGAATTACACAATTAGTCATGATAACAGTCTGAAAAATAAACAAGACTTCAGTCAAATTTGTACAAGTGACATCAAATAATTTTTAATAAACTATCATTCTTTGATGAAAAAGTTACAATAATTTGTAATTTGTAAATCAAAATGATTTGTGCTGTTCTCGTTTTTTTACAAATTAAAATATTTTGAGGCTTTAATTATATTGTTTTTTAAAATCTATGCTAATGACGATGAAGAAAAAAACTAACCTTGCCATTAATAACTATATTTTGACTCCCACACAAAACTGACTGCCTGCTTACTTTATTTCCGGAGGCCTGAAAATAAAATAAAAACTATTGGTATTATGTTAGGAAGATATTGATAGTGCTTATGTAAAATAATTTAAATCACTGCCATGTAACTTTAGAGATGAACAGGCCACAACAATGAGAAAACCAAAATTACGATATTTCTTGACATTTTCTTGACATATTTCTTTTTTTTTTTTTTGAATCCAAAAGGAAACAGAAAAGAGATACAACTGATGGCTTAGGGATTCAAAGACAGGGAATCTGGGGGAAAGCAACATGAGCTGGAAAGAGATGCTTATGACTGAAACTAAACAAACAAGATTGTGAAAGGTTGCTTTGTCCACTAAGAGAGATGAAGGCTAAAAGACTTTTTTTTAAATTTGATGCTGCATAGTTGAGTAAAAAAGTAGGCTTACAAAAATCTCCTGGTTTGACTGGAATTGTCAAAGCTAGGTGCACTCACACATATTGACATCAGAGTTGGACAATTAGATGTAATGAAATAAAACAAATACTCTACTTAAAAAAACAGACAAGTTATTGCTTGCATTATACCAAAAGCACTTGTTTATGTTTAAATAAGCACACATACTATTGGTCCCCTGTCAGCTAAAAGTGATATCCTTTCTATTCAAGTACCTGAGACCCTTAGGGTTCTCCATATTATGTGTTTTTTCCCCCATTATGTAACTTTACACTGTTAGGGAACTCCTTTAAAGACATCTAAAAAGCCTTTATTGAATTAGAAGAGGCATCACTACAAGAAGGGCTGAAAGTTAAAAACCAAAAAACAAAATACATGAATAGTTTAAGAGTTTAACAGACTGATGAAATCATTAAACTTAGAAACCACACTTTAGTAAAAGTAAATAAATTCAAATACCTTTAGTCCTTAGCAAATGAAAGAAATGAATTACTAACAGAAATAAAAGAAAGAATATTGGCTGGAAACAGGGTGTAATTCGGTAATCAGAAAATATGCAGAAGTAAAAACATTACAAGAAAAACAAAGAAAACTATTATAAAACTGTAATCAGACTAGTTGTAACATATGCATGTGAAACTTGGACCCCACTAAAAACGGCAGGGAACCTAATAAACACATGGGGAGAAAAGTTCTCCAGAAAATATATGGACTCACAAAAGATGAATATATATGGAGAATATGAACCAATCAGGAATAAACGGCTCAAAGGCAGACCTAGACAAATGGATGATGTGGAAAGTGATCTACGGCAGTTAGGAATCCATGCATGGAAAAGAAAAGCATCAGTCAGGTCTGAGTGGAAGGAAGTAGTGAGGCAGGCCAAAGCCCTACATGGGCTGTAGTGCCACAGGGATTGGATGGATGTCTGATATAAGCCCTAAGGCAACCATTTTTTTCAAAATCAAAACAAACAACACTCTTTACTTTACGCCATCACCACAAACCACGACAAAGTAGGTCTATCAAACAAGTACTGATGAGTGCTCAGCACGATACAGCATCTTGTCCTGGTAAAAACAGTATGAATGGTCACAATGGCCTTAGACATAATAATATAGTATGAGTGATGATATTAATAATATGATTTGACTTTTTGACTCAAAGCCATTAAGTAGTAGTACAGTAGGCGTAGGCCAAATAACGTGTCAACAACATGGACATGAAGCCCTATTATGCCCTATATTTATTGTCATTTGAGAATGCAGCTTTAAAACTAAATTATGTGAATGTGAGTATTGAATTGTGATTTCTCTGGACTGTGACAAAAACACACTTTGATGACTCATACTAGATACTTCGATGAAACAAGGGAGACTACTATTTTTTTTGTATCGGAAATGGCTGTCGGCGCCGAAAAATCCGAGTTTTTAATTTTCCGATGTGTGTGTCTATTTATTATTAAATTAGTTCTTTCCACATATATTTGAGTTCCGTTTCCGGCCTTATAATTTGGAAGACATCTTGGCCTACATTTCTAGCCAGCTATTTTGCTTTTTTCAATCGACCTTTATTTTGAAAATCTTTGGTATATATAAGGCATCTTCGCATACAAAATTTTTTGTGAAATAATAAGATAAGGTCCTTTTTGATTAAATCTGTATGAGCATTAGATATTGATCTATATCTGTGCCAAGTTTCATTGATGTAGGTCGTGTCTCACGTTTGTTACACTTGTCACAGTGACCCATATCACCATAAGGTGGCTCAGCCAAATTTCGACATGGCGTGGGCCACGCCCCCTTTTTAATGGCGGAAGTTGCCGATACTTAGGAAATATTTAATTATTACCACTATATACATCAAAATATTTTATATTTTGTGTTTCAGAATGCATTTTGAAGACATTTAAACTGGAAATGTTTTAATTTGAGCTTTAAAAACCCTGCAGAGTCCATATTATAAATGATCAGAATTTTCCCTGTGCAACACGTTGTCATTGGCAACCATTCACAGCCACTTGCATAACGGCTACGTCGTAGTACTATCTCAGAGTTTCATTCATAAGAGTTTGCCGTGTGCAAAAGCTATTAAACCATTGGTCAGGGAAAGCTTTTATTAATTATTCATGTGCCAAAGTTGAAAGTTTAAAATAAGTCGACCCTAAACAGTATTTTAGTGATAGGGAATGCGTTGCCTTATATAAACTATATAGTCATTGCGCATGACTCGATCAGTGGAATGAGGTCACAGAATGTGGAGATGAAGTCCATGTTAAAAAATGACAAACCAAGTCGTACTTTAAAAATTCATAACTTTAAAACTACAACAGCTAAAAATATGATTTTGGTGTTATAATTCTGTTTAAAATTAGCTCTATTCAACTGTGCCATTGGTTTATTTTTAAAAAATGTTTACATTTTTGACAAAAGTATCTACTCATACTCATTGTAACACAGTATTGAGTCTCAGTGAGTGCAGTCAACACTCAGTCATCAACTCAAACACAGTAATAACACTACAAGCGACAGTTGAAGAGACACCAATTACACTAGTCAACCAAGGCCTACTCATGATCAATCCTATACTTAAATACCACATCCAGATTCCTACATAATAAATAATATAAATCAATAGTCGCCCGACGTTCTAAACTTACTGTCAGAATCAATCAAGAATCATCATACGCCGTCAACACATACTTACAGTTTCGATGTATTGCGCATTGTTGTAGAATTCATCTTGTAATTCCATTTTGCAAACTTTTAAAGCGCGAATCTAGCACATCTATTTAAAGAAATATGTGTACATTAAATAGTTCGAATTCTAGTTTATACATTCATTTTCAGAAATATATTTGTGATGTTTTGTTCCCAGTAAAATGATACCCAACCGGAAGAGTCAAAATAAAATAATAGTTACCGCAAAATAACATGCATGAGCAACAAACAAAAAAAACCGAGAAGTGACTTTCCGTACTGTGTAAGTGTAATAACTACGCAATAATTTGTGGGGGAGGGTGTTGATTTTTCCCATGACCAAGTGTTTTCACCTATGGTTGTGTATGGGTGAGAGGAGAGGGGTCAACAGAATAGTCCGCACATTATGCGTGGTGTATGGCGTACTTTGTGGAGGGGTAGTATCTCTGGTTGTGCAGCAGTAGTCTCAGTAGTACCCTTTGTTGTAGCTAATCAATTTTGCGTCCCCACATGGTGTTTAGCTCTCACCTGTAGCCCCAAGAAGGTGTGGCATGCTTATAAATAATATATATATGTATGTATTCTGAAGAAACTAAAGACATAAGAATTCGAGGTAAAAGCGCTTAAAATATGCACCAAAATTACTTATTATTGAAACATTTAAGTTTACCGTTAAAACGTTACTTTCCTGGTCTTGAAATATGCAAACATACCCATAGGAAATCGAAAATAGCTCTTTTCAAATTTCAGAGCACCCAAAATTACCCCCACCCCTTTGTATTTATTTAATATTAAAATTAAGCCTATATTTAAAAAAAAAAAAAAGTACAACATATTCATTCTTTTTTATTTTTTTTTTGTTATTTATTATTTTTTTTACTTTTTTTTTTTTTTTTTTTCAAACATACCCATAGGAAAACGAAAATATCTCTTTTCAAATTTCAGAGCACCCAAAATTACCCCCACCCCTTTGTATTTATTTAATATTAAAATTAAGCCTATATTTAAAAAAAAAAAAAAGTGCCACATCCTCATCCCTATGTACGACATTGGGGAGAACTAACAATTTGACGACTTTTTTTAAGGTGATATTCAATGACATATCAGATGTTAATTGAAAATATCTCCAATTTTATGGATCTTTAAAAATATTGTAAAGATTTTGTTCCTGTGTATTTGTTGTACCGCCTTTCTCCTGGTGCTTATTTTGCTTAATGGTTAGGCCTAGTAGCATATGCCTGTATATTGGAATATATATAAAATCAATATCCAAAATAGAAAATTAATAGTAAATTAGGCCCAAATTTAAAATTGAAATGTTATAAATAGTCTTATAGTTCCAAATGTTCAGATCAGCTCCGACAATGCATTCTTAGGACTAAGAAATTATCAACTGCTCCTCAATATAAAAACAATTATTTTTTTGTTTTTTTTTTTAAATTGAAATAATTGCACACAGAGAAAATGACAATCTTTGAAGCGCTTAATGGTAAGACCAGGATAATTTCAGCCAGTTCTACGTGTATGTTGATGAAAAATCAGCTACAATGTCCATTATAAGGCTACAATAAGAGGAACATTAGGCGTATCCAGTGGGAAGATAATGGAAGCTAGAAATGTAACAATAGGCTTACATATATCCTTTAAAAAAACATGCATTTCCAAAAATGTATTAAAATTTAATTGAATGTCTCCCAATACTTCAGAGTCGTTACAGTCATATGATTCATAAATCTTGGGGCGCATATGAAATACAATGACTTAATAAGCTACATTGTTGCACACATGTAGCCTTCAAATAAGTATTTCGTTACAAATTGCTATGATACAGATTATTTAATCATGAAAATATGAGTTCTCACAACTGTCGTGCATTACTATTGTATGCTCCCATCGATCGTGATCTTGACAAAAAGGAATGAAGTTAGCGATACCACTGCGTGCATGTGTTTGTGATTTACAAAGAGCATTGAGTTCATGGGCGCCTGACGGTTTAAAAAAAAAAAAAAATGTCAAATGATGTAACAACTCTGAAGTCGATTTTTTTAAATGTAATATAATTTTGTTTACCTACAATTTATACATTATAAGCATTGAAATATATCCAATAAAAGTTATTTATATTTTTTGTTGGAGTAGTAACATTAATTTAAAGACTTTTTTCTTTTAAAAGATTTTAGGACACCAGAGCGCTTTGAGCATGCTAAAATGGCATGGACGCAAGTGCTATAAAAGTATTCAATCAACGTCATCAACTATTATTTTTTTACACATTAGGCCAAATAATTTATGGGGGCTGATCTTAAAAGTTTAATGAAGGTTGAAAGTGTCAAAATAGTCTAAAATTGATGGTAATTTATGGTCAACTACTTGTGTCATTTGTGGGGTAGTGGTAGAGGGCGTCTTATTCTACACACACGCTGCTAGGAAGTAATAACATTATAATAACATTCTTTTAAACATTTTCCTTCAAATATGACTTGCTGTCGTCTCCTCTGGTTATGAATGCACCTTCCCTCTTTCTTAGGGGTCATCCATTACGTACGTCACACTATGGGTAGGAGTGGAGGTTAGATCATATCTGACGTCAGACTTTTTTTTCAGACATGTAAAAGCTGACATTTAAAGTGATATTTAACTTTATCTTGTGCTGGATGTATTCTGAAAGAATAAGTCCCTTAAAAGTGCGTAGTTTTTAATGCTGAAGCGTTTTTTAGAATGAATTGTAAATACCATAGTCGTTAATTCTTTTTAGAACCTTTTTTGTTTATTTCGTACACCTGAAGTACTTTCCTGTCTTTTTTTTTGGGGGGGGGGGTAGGGGTGGGGTCCGAGATTTGTGACCCCGGGGGGGGGGGGAAATTTTCCAAATGGCGGGACATAGCCTACTTTATGGACCGCCCTTTACTTGAGCATTTAGGCAGCATGCCCTCAACCCCGCGTCACAACATATCAAATCACCTCATTGTCTTCCTTGGTCCTTAGCCACCCTTTTCACCCCTACATTCCCTCCCTTACTCTCCAACACTTGCTACCTTCCTTATCTACCTATCTCATTTAAAACTCTTATCTGCACGGCGACACTTCCCTATTTTTGTGGTGCTTGGTTTATGAGAGGATGTTCGTTTTGTTTTTAGTTGTTTTTTTTTTTTTTAAACACTTTTAAAGGCCTTATTGTATTATTATACAAGTTTTAGAAGTAAAAGTATAACGTGAATGGAAAACGTCAAGTGAAATACAATATAAAAAGTAGCCCATTTTCTAAAGAAAACTTAAATTATAAATTATCAGAAATTGATTAAAATATTTAAAACGAAATTAATACCATAGCAGAACAATATGAATATCAATCAATATCATCAATAAATTCAATATCTAAATTTTAGCTTCCAGCAACTATTTATTTTAGGTATACTAAAAAGGGTATATACTAGTGTTTAACATAGAAAAACAGAAATCGCAGCAAAAATCAGTACTTAGTTTATCAATAAGAAATTTAGTATGTATTTATATATTTTTTTACAATCACGCTTTCTCTTTTTTTTATTTTAATTTTATAACAAAGAAATACTTTTTGAAAAGGATAAACATAAGGGAAAAGCTTGGAGTCCGGAAGTTCAAGTGAGATGAGGCGTGTACCTGGCAACTCAGCTTTGTGCTGGATGTATTATTTCTCTCTATGAACTCTGCTAAATATACATTTCAACTGACCGAGAACTTGAAGAATGAACAAAACAAAAAAAAATTGTTATAGGCAAATGATAGTCGAAAATGAGTTTTAATGGCTGTCCACATTTGCAAGCTTATAAAGCAGCAACGGGTACAGATACTTTTAAAATAATTTACTCTTATTTCGTAGCCTGCTCGACAGCTGATACTCGTCTAAAGAAGGTGAGATTTATGATTTAGGTAATCTAGCAAGGTCTGCTCTGCATGTTTGTAAAAATGTATCGTATTCTTATGAATGGGAAAAAGTAACTATAAAATCCCCCTAATTCAGTCATATTCAAAGCTAAGATAATAGGCCTACAGAATTAAACTTATTGCTTTGAATTAGAACTAGGCCTGAACAAGCTTTCTCTGTAGACTGTAGGCTACTGTAGAAGTAGAATCAATATTTTTTATTGTAGAAGTTAAAGTTAAAGTGTTTAAAAAAACTTCCTCCTTTTATTTTTGTTTCTTCCTCTTAAAATGTAGGTAGAAAGTATACCTACCGCTTACTGAGTTAGTGAGAGGGAGATTGAACTATCCTTAAATATTAATGAAAGATCAATGTAATGTAATCACTAACAGTTAAGATTATGGCATGGCATGGTAATGGATGGTAAAGTCACACTAACTTTGAGTTTGACAATAGATCAAGTCTCAGTGTGAAAAAAATAAACCTATATAGTTTTAGGTCTAACCTGCCTATGGCAATAGCCTAAATAGGCCTATCAAATATGAATTTTAAACCCTCAAAGTATGATGGGTAAAGCTTAAACTTAAAGACTAAAGATTTTCATCAACATTTATTTATTTGTTGACTCACATTAGAATGTAATGTGTTCTGGAAATTTTTTAATTTGATCACAATTGATTCATTGATTTCAAGGTTCATGTCACTGAAGAATCAGATGCAATAATTACAATAAAAAGATTATCTGCTAGATAAACATACAATAAAAATGTTATTTTCTCATCCATCCTTCCCTATTCATGTATAGAACTAGAACCACCATATAATTTTTAATTTAAATTCTGATTCTTTAAACAGGCACAAATTTGCAAGTGTGTTTCATGTGATGATGTTAGACCTAGACTTCATGCTTGTTTATCCTGCATCTACTTTGGTTGTTATGACAAGAAACATATACATGCTCACTCAGAAGAAAAGAAGCATCACATAGGTATTGAGATTCAATTTTGTATGAGTTTGAAGATGCATTAGAATAATAGATTTCATATCTGAATTATATAATTTCAGAGTTGGAACAATAGTTGAAAGTCTTTTTCTTTTTGTTATGATTTTTGTCCTGATCACAATTATTAACCAAAGTTTAATGAATTAATTTACATTATCATGAAAAACTTAATGATCACTAGAGCAACGTTTCCTAAACTTTTTAATTTGATGGAGAAGTTTTAAAAATGCTCCAGATTTATTGATTAAATTTTATTTTTATTTGACCAAAAATATTCATGTTTTTTGTACTTGCAACATAAGGTCATTTGGGGAATACTGCTCTAGTGCATGTTTACTTAAAATTCAATTATTTACAGCTATTGATGTCTCTTATGGCACGGTTTACTGCTTTATCTGCGGAGATTATGTCTATGACTCAGAATTGGAGGATATTGCCAAGGCCCAGTGTCAAAGGGCATCTTTGTCTTTAGGTAAATCTGATTTTATTATTTTTAAAGCATATTAAAATACTAACTGTTAGGTTACGTCAAAATTCTTATGTAAACCCATGTTAAGCTAAGCTGCAAGATTTCAAATTTGAAGTTATTTTAATGATTGACGTCTAAAATTCCCATTCTGTGTGCTAAATCATACAAAATCAATTATGTTTATAACATGGTTACATTTCAAATCACTTTCCAAATTATTCAAAGCAGGAAATGTAATTGATCCTGCATCTAAGAAATTTCAACTTTTAATTTTTTGTGATTTACAAATTACAGGTTTTATCTTTAATTAATCATTCCATTTGTTTTATTTAAGCCTTTAGCTAAGCATAGTGTTATACAAATTTATTTTGTACAAAATTTATTTTACATTGCAATCTTAATGATATTACTCAAAAATTTGTTTCCGTTTTACAGGTCTCAAGCAACGCTTTTTTCCATGGCAGCCATCTGAGGAAGAGCTGATTCTTCTTCGCTGTAACCCAAAGAGGCGACGTGTTACTGAAGCGTCTCATATAGGTAAGTTTGGTAATTTTTTTTATCAGAACATTACAAATTTGTTACATCACAATAAGTAACAAATACAAATGAAATGTTATATAAATTTGCTTAATTTTTATCCTTTTATATCTTTGATCTGTTATCAACAGGGCTAAGAGGATTAATAAATTTAGGTAATACATGTTTTATGAACTGCATACTGCAATCTCTGGCCCATACACCTATATTAAGAGATTACTTCATGGCAGACAAGCATGCTTGTCAGAAAACAGATGAGTCCCAACAGTGTTTGGTTTGTGAAATGGCAAGGCTGTACCAAGAGGTAATAATTTTTATCTATAAATGGTCATGTCACAGCAGATAACGATTTGAATATATTTCAAGGTTAATTCTTTTTAAAATTGTCTTGTGCACTGACAGAATGTATATCAGAAAATTTTTTATTAAATTTTCAATCATTATATCATTATTTATACAATTAATTTTAGTTTAACGTCTTGGAAAAGTAAAAAAAAAAAGTTTTAAGGAAGAAAACACAGATGATGTGTAAAATACTCAAGCTCTAACTTTTCTACATCTACAACTAAGGATGTTAAACAGTCATCTAATTTCGGAATATTAGTTTTGAAAACAATTATTAGCTGTTAATTTTTAAAAGTAGTAATCAAATAATTTTGTTTCCTTACTGAAAGCATTACAACACAAAAAAAAACAACAAATAGTGGCATATTGAATTTTAAAATACATACGCAGATATCGCCAATTTGTCTCAAAAATTCATTTGTAAATGCAGTTTTACATGACCCATCAACCCAGTATTGCAATACCTGCTTTGAAGGTTATAATCTGTGTGCTAAAAAATAATGCTATTAACATTTAGGTACCGTATTAAATTGTTTTTATAATCAAATATGAAATTTTAACAGTATTATTATTATTTTTTTTTTTTTTTATTTATTGACATCAATTTATATTTGAAATTTTGATTAATTATGTTCATTTATTACACTTCCTATTTATAAAGATGGAGAACATTTATAATGCTATTAACATTTAGGTACCGTATTAAATTGTTTTTATAATCAAATATGAAATTTTAACAGTATTATTATTATTTTTTTTTTTTTTTTATGTATTGACATCAATTTATATTTGAAATTTTGATTAATTATGTTCATTTATTACACTTCCTATTTATAAAGATGGAGAACATTCTAAAGAATAATCTCTATATTACATATCTGGAATTAAAGTTAACTTTAATAACTAAGTTGGAATATTTTTGCCCAAACATTTTCATAGTGAATCTGTAGAGGTTGCATAATTGAGTTTAATAACCAAGATTGTAATATTTCTATATTGTAGTTTTATTCTGGATCTCGAACTCCCTTCATCCCCTACAAATTACTCCATCTTGTATGGACCAATGCCAGACACTTGGCAGGTTATGAACAACAGGATGCTCATGAGTTTCTTATTGCTGCTCTTGATGTTCTTCATCGGCATTGTAAAGGTTTGTTTTGTTCATGACTGATGGGATATGAATCTAGAGACCTAAAAAATATAGATATGCTGAGAGTGAATTAGACAAGAAATCATATGGTATGAATGTATGAATTCTGTGTGCTATGTGAAATAAAGTGAGTACAATTCAACTCACACCCACACTGACTGTTTGGGTAAAATATTATTCTCTCAGTTTAGAAAGTCATATAAAGTTATTAGTTTGTGCTTATAAAAAGTTATAATAAATTCATTGGTGACCTACATATTACTTTATATAATACCTATCAAATGTATTAGTACACTACTCTCCACTATTAACACTTATTAGAACTTGAACTACTACTAGCCATCTTGCCACTATTGATTGTAATTATCACTACCCTCTACCATGAGTAATGTCTCAAAAAATCACATCCATAAATAAATAATTCAAATTAATTAGGCTTTTATTTTGCGGGGCCAACATCTGATTCCTACAAGTTAGTTTCAACAAAAAAAAAATCATAAAATTTCAGCTCGATTCTAAATTTAAAAATAAATATGAACACATGAAATATTTTCCTTAGTTTTCAATATACAAGAAGTAAATCTAATTTTTTAAGAGTTATTCCCCTTTTGGAAAAATTAAACCTCTGATAATATTTATAATAAATAATTTTAGTGGATGCCCATGATCACCATTCTGACAGTTTGTGGGTTAGTAAGGATTTGTACTGATTTATTTCATCCTTCCTAGAAATTATCAAAGTTTGTGCCTTTTTATGCAGAAATTAAATAGATGTTGTTATATTAAAATTTAAAGTAACATAAAAATCATAAATGGAAGTTTGAAAAATTTAAAGTTTAATTTAAAAATAAACATAATAACCAGTGCTTTAATTTTATGCATTTAAAAATAAAAGAATTCTGTGGAGTTTATAGCTACTTAAAACAGCTTTTAATGTTACTAGAAAAGTACTGAATGATATTGGCAACATGAGACAACCTACTGCAGAAATTAAGCTAAGTGATGGATATGGCTTTCAAAATAGTACAAACAAATAATGACTTACATATGAAGGTTAATTTGAGCATTAACCATTGCAAAAATACTTAAAATAATTTCAAATTTTGATTTGCAAAATCATTGATAGATTTTTTCCAAAAACATTTCTTTCAGAAATGAATGGTGTTAGTGGCAGTAATCCTCATCATTGTAATTGTATTATAGATAGAATTTTTACTGGTGGTCTCCAGTCTGATGTCACTTGTAAACGGTGCAAGTAAGTTTGAATAAAAGTCTTATATTTCTGGGTACTGTGATAAAGTAGGATAAGATCATTTATCATAGTTCATATCTAATTAAAATTATAAGAAGTCATTGCTAATTATTCCATGATATTTATTAACAAAAATAACTTTACTATATATTTTTAGTGATACCCTAATGTGATTTATAAAGAAAAAGTAGAATGAGTCCAGATTCACTAAGAATTCTTCCAATGCCAATCTTTTCATTTAACAAATTAAATGTGTGTTTATTTCAGTAATGTCTCTACAACGATAGACCCTATATGGGACATTTCTTTAGATCTTGGCCCTGGATCTATCCATTCCTCCCATCTCTTATCATCCTCAACAACAAATGCTGCTGCCAATCACAACTCAAACCTGACTCAGGCCAATGGAGTGAGAGTAATTGGTGACAGTGGCTCATCTTCTACCTCACAGTCCATTGCTTCCACAGAGTTCACCCACTCCCCTGCACCTGGTCAGTTATAATTTTTTAATTCTAATGTTAGGTTAAAATTTATTGAAGATAATGCTGATTTTAAATGTATTTATATCTTAATATTAAAGTTGGCCTATTTGAATCTGATCTCAGAAAACTAAAAAAAGGCTTTGATCAATTAATAATCATTATTTTAAGATATTTAATGTTTTCACTGAAAGATGTAACAACAGAGCTCTATTAAAGTCATCAATAAAAACTCTGGATTATTTAGTAAAGAAAGTATGGTACGATTTTTTGTGTGTCCAACATTCAATGTTAAAAAATATTTTTGTTGTTGCATTTATTTGTATTTCTGACATGATCTAGCCTCACCTAAAATATTGTTACTATTTAAGTAGTAAAAATCTACCTTTTAGGTTTTACAAACAGCCCTGGAAATTATGAACCTACCTCTCTAGTAGAATGTCTGAAAAGGTATGTTAGTCATAAATATCAAAATAAACTTTTAAATTTATATTAGTCTATGATAGTTGGCATCCATTTGTCTTTGTTAGATAATGCTGTAGATTTTATTTTATTTGCACCTCTGCGGTTGACTTATGAGGCCAAGCTTGGAGTGGCAGTCCTGGTTGTATACTTAGCTTGTTCACTTTGGCCTCATGTATTGCCCCTTTTTCTGCAAGGACTTTGTTTTGCGCATCCTCTGCCTCATAGGCTCCTATTTTCGCTGTTGCTTGCCAGCTGGAACGGTCATCAGTGATGCTTTCCCATTCCCTATTTTGATGTTTTGGTGCCTTCATATTTCTTTTACACACTTCTTCATAGCTCAGTCACGGTTGTCCAGTATGATATGCCCCCCTCTGCCAGTTCTCTGTACAGCAAGTTCTTTGAATATGGCCTGACTCCATTCTCTTGACTTATCCTAGCCAGTGAAGGCGTCTCCTACTGAGAGTTGAGAACATGCAGGACATTTTGGCACTTTGTCTTGGCATCAAATGCAGAATGTAAATGAAAATTCGCAAACTAACAGATTGTAGAATGTATAAGATGCATATTTTGAGTTTTCCTGCTCTTTCATGATTCACCATCTGAGAGTGATGAGACCCATCTACCTAAAAATCGCTGAATTTGTGTAGCTGGTATTTGTGCGCCAGACCATGATTATGTATATGACCAGGCGTCAAGTCAACTAAGAACACAACTACCCAATCACCTTTAGACACCATTAATAAAAAAATTAAGGGTGACCCCTTAGTCATTCTACTATATGCAGTTATAATGGTTATTATAGTTCCTACTCTTTCTTAAAATTTAGGAAATGATTTCTAAACCATGTTTTTCTAGATTAAATTAACTTTTTATAATTATTTTTTTTTTAATGATCTGAGGCTGTTGAATATTTTTATCATATTTTGAGGATCTTCGTGAGTTTTGGAGTACAAAATTCGTTACATACTTTGAGGTTGGACATTCAAAATTATTTAAAAAAACAAATATTAGCATAATGCTGATTTATTTTTATTCGTTCAAAGGTTTACAAAAACTGAACACTTAGGGAATTCAGCAAAAATCATCTGTAGTAAATGTCATAGTTATCAGGAGTCAACCAAACAACTCACCATGAAGAAACTTCCCATAGTTGCATGCTTTCACTTAAAGGTAAGGTAAAATTATGTTTCAAAACATGGTATACAGGTGGTTTATCAGTTTTAATTAATTTGCCCCAACTTCAAATTAAACATCATTAAGGCTGTTTTTTGTCTTCTATGATAAAATTTAATAAAAAATAATGTCAAGTGTTAATAAATTTCTTATTTCTCGCATTTTACAGCGCTTTGAGCATTCCACGGGCTACCATAAGAAGATCTCAACATTTGTGTCTTTCCCCGAGGAGCTAGACATGACACCTTTCATGTCATCATCTCGGAATAACAACAATGGCTACAACATGCACTCGGCCCCAAGTATAACCTGTGATAATAAGTAAGTCCAGGTCTTTCTACTGTCAGATGATATGTTTTAGCTTCTGGTTTCACAAAATTTGAACTATGGGCCTATTTTATTTATGGTATGCATCAAAATCTCTTTATTTTTCTGCTGAGCATGATAATTTAAAATCTTTAAGCTAATCTTAGTCTTGCATTGCAGATATTTAATTTTTGCCCTCTTGAGTCATATGTGATTGCTCTTCTCAGTTATTTCTTTCACCACATGCTTCCAATTTAGAATGGTACCATGTTCTGCCATTTTTTTTTTGTGCACATAATGACAGTGCTATAAAAAAAAATTATCATTGTCCATTTTTTAATATTTAGTAGATACTCCCTGTTTGCTGTAGTTAACCACTATGGCACCATTGAGTCTGGTCACTACACCTGCTACATCAGATCTCTCAAAGAGCAGTGGTACAGGTGTGAGGACCACCTCATCAAGAGGGCGACAGCTGGAGAAGTACTCAACAGTGAGGGGTAAGCTAACGCAACTGGCTGTAGCACTTAGTTTTAGCTTATTATACTGTATGCCCCTGAACAGATCATAGTTGTAGTTTCAAAGAGTCAAATATTTTTTTTTAACAAACTGAAATCTATTAGATTAGACCATTAACTTTCATTTAAAAAAAAAAGAGAAATAATAAATTTATCATTTCATGTATAATAGTCACCCAAGTTCTGGAACTCTTTTTCTTCACATCATAAATTGGATTCTCTTACTCTTGACTCAATTGTTCATAATTATTGGACAACAAATTTGTAAACTTGTTTTTAAAAATGCGTTAAGATAAATAAAAATATGGTGCATGTGAGGATACAAGTGAGTTAATTTCTGTATGAAGTCTTCTCAATCTTTGCATATTTACTCCACCTTTAAATTGAATTACTTATATAAAAAGTTTGTATCTATCTAACAGGTATTTATTGTTTTACCATAAGCAAGTTTTGGAGTATGAATGATCGCATGCTGCAACAGTTATATTGAGGATTTACAACTTTTACACCTAGACTTGGATACTGAAAACAATCCTGTTCTGCATTAATCCTAGAATGTATAGTTAAATTTATGAACTCAGAAGTTATATTCTAACAATTTAGGGGCAGAACAATGTTTAGCAAGTCTTAAAACTTTCATGAAAAGTATATTCATAGATTTTTTTTGTCCCAAATATTCAATCTACTAAGGTTAAGACTGAATAAAATTTTAAAACAACATCTTATGGTGCTTTAAAATGTTATGCTATCTTTACCTGTATTGGTTTATCTGCATTCTTTAGGTTTTGTTGTACTGTCCTTCATATGGAAAGTATTATTAAATTATGTGTTGTTTTTTTAGCTGAATTTTAAAGTTGTTTGATGTGAAGCTTAAAAATGTTCAGTACTTTCACTGCTTATCTTTAAATGATGAAATTCACTCCAGCACTATGTATCACAGAATATACAATGCTTTAAATTTGTTAAAGATTTTTTATTAAATTGCATAATTTATAAGTTTGTTAGTCTCTGTAGAATCTAATGAAATTGAGAGGACAGCACATTAAAAGCAGTTTATTAAGACTTGTAAAAGTTTTAGATTCTGAACAGTTTTTGTATGCTACATGTACATATCTGATATACAGTGTACATATTTTTCTATATTTTTTTGTATTCTGTTTCAAGAAGTGATAAGAGATAATTAAGTAAGCTGCTGAGCAGATGTGGCTTAAATTGTTTCCATGTTGCTCAAGTTTGTTTTTAAACTGTGCCACTCCCTAAGCTCCATTAAAAGGAGCCAGTTAACATTAGGCAATTCTGTAAATAGACTGCAGTTCATCATCAATATAGTTTTTTTTTTTTTAAATTAATTTGTCATTAATTAACAAATTGTCATATTTCGTTACTGTCTCTTCAGTAGTGAAGAGTTTGGCAAAACCTTTGTACTTATTTTCTATGATGTGTCTAAACCTTTGATTCATGATATTATGCCCATCTAAGAATTCAAGTGTACTTGGAAAGTTACTCTTCTTGTTTGAATTGATTAACTTTCTATAGTCTAAATGTGTTGTGTTTTCTTCTATCTCTCTTCTTGCCCGTTATCTGTTATGTTGTGTATTTATCATCTGCTACTTATGTCTTGTATTTCATGCAAATTAATGTTCAACCTAATGAACAATTATACTAAAGATTATCTTGTCATAAGGTAAACAAATAATGTCAAAGATAAAAATTCTTTGTTTGATCAAAATTATTTAAATTTAATTGCTGAGCAGAAGAGGATCATTGTTTTTTTTTTTATGGTCTGCATTAAGTAATACACAGGATTTCTTTGCGATAAACAAATGGTTAAAAAATCTGTGTTTTCTGAGGTGACAAATTATAATACTACTGTTTCAATTTTCACAGCAATTAAAAAATTTAAATAATACTGTTGTGGATATACTTTAAAAAAAAAAAAATGATTTTTATTTTTTTTCCATCTGCAATAAGTTATAGCTCTAATTGCTGTTTGCAGCCATTGTTCCACTTAGAGTTTGTAAACCTAGTAAATTGAATCTTGTCAATTTAAAGTTACAGTCATCAATTGTTTGACATACAGTATTCATTATTATGCCACAGAATGTGATAATATAAATTACCTTTAACTTTTTCTAAAATAGAATTCTTTAAAATAAATCATCTCCATCAGTTTAAAACTAAAAGATTTAAATAATTTTCATAAAGGCAATTATTTTAGCCTTCATCTTATGATATTTACAATATATACTGGTTCTAAAGCTGACTTTTTGGGGGAAATATTTCAGGGAAATATAAATAAGTGGGATAGTATGAGTGAGTCATGGATTTTTATAATTCTATAAGTACATAGATTCAATTACAAAGAAACAATGAAAAGGTAAATAACCAAAGTCACTGTAATGACTTTGATAAATTGGGTCACAAGTTTGGGTTCTAACAATGAATTCCCAACTGTTCTTTGTGACTGGGTCAAATTCTAAGATCATAGCAAGTTAAACTATTTTTAGAACAGATCAACTCTCACTTTGATACAGTTTGGTACCAGCATTTGACATATATTTAATATTAGTTGCCAACCTGCAAAAATGCAATCTGCTCCTTAGTCTAACACAAATTTGTTAGATATTTATAGCAGAATTCTCACATGGAAAGAGAAGGTAAGACACATGAAGTGACTACCTGTCTTATACATTATACTGTATCTTTATTAGTTTTTAAATCTTTTTATTTACACAAAAATTACTTTTTAAAGTATGGATTTAAAAAAAAACTTTTCTTTAGTACAGTATTGCAAAGCTCCGCAACATGTTTTTCTCTCATGACACAGCTAGACCCTTCCCAGATTTACACAGCACACCAAAATTAAAACATGCAAAAAAAAATATTTTTTTTTCAAGTAATATATTAGTTTTCACTAGAAAGCTGAATATCAGTGGCGCAGAAATGTAAGGAAACTATTTTTTTAAACTGCATTTTCAGTACATTATTTTTAAAAATTATTTTTGTTTTTACATAACTGTTCCTATTGAGTTTAAAGTGGTTATTTTATCCTTTATGTAAGAAAATCTGCATCTATACTGATTTAACAAAAATATACACACAATTAAAATAGTTGTTTGATACAAATAAGAGCAGCAACCACTAACTTACTGATGACATTCATGTGTCAATATACCATGTTTATTTCAATGCTAAAAGTAATAGATAAACAAGCCACACAAAAAAATATATATATTATATATACATATAAAAAGAAAAGGAAATTTTTAAAAAACATTGTCCCATGATCAACATGCACATGCAATCAACATGCACATGCGTGTGTGTGGTGGTGGTTGGGGGGGGGGGTTAGGTTTCCCTCAAACAAAGCAGATAAAAACCTAGTCAGTACCAATAGTACCATTATTCTGACTTGTGTTGGGTTTATTTTCATTTGTGGATGATGAAATGTTTACCAGCAATCAACACCTAGTTGAAGTATTTCACAGAGTGGGCGTGAAAAGCGTGCAATCAAAGGCTCAGGCAACAGAGACATTATTTTAATTTGGCACTTAAGACACTCTGTGAACCACCAACCCAAATAAAACGTGCAGTTGTGATGTGCTATTTGACTTTAAATTCTTTAAATGAGACACCTTGTTGATTAGTAAATTATTGTCCCATTTATTTGAAAAAAATTATATAGTCTTCATGCTTTTTCATCCACTTGGTGAAATTTTGTTGCGGCACGCCTAGCATAGTCTCACAGCACACCAGTTGCGGAGCTCTGCAATATTGCTAATATTAGCATATTATTTCATGGGAACACCTTATGAGTGGGTTATACTTATACACTTTTCAAGCTTTTCTCGGCCAAAACTAGTGGATGGGGGTCAGCTTGTGAACTAACAGGTTTTAGAATAAGTATAAGGAGCTCTTAATGTTAAAGTTAAGTAAGTTATCAGGGCATGCCAATTACTTTGGTCTCTAGTTTCTGATAGGAAAGTATTGTAACGCGTATTTTATCAAGTTTACAAAAGTTCCTTCAAATATTTACTTATTCAGTTAGAAAACATTAAATTAACACATTTTCCTCCACTTTCCCTTCATATTATTACTACATGGCATGGTTTTGTGTACAAGGACAAAGTAAAGGTTGTGAAATTATGTTCTTTTCATTTCATTGAGTCACCTTTGATTTGTTATTTATCATTTCATGCACGAGAATGAAAAAATGATGGGACATATCATTAAAAATGGTTTTATTCATATTTGGTCAATGTCTGTGAAAAAGATCTAGTCTCTACAACCTATGTTTTAATATAAAACCTAGTTAGTACTTAAAAGTTATGGATAGGACATCTTTTCACACAAATAATATAACTATGTTATTTCAAGATCAATAGTCACTAGGGATTCTAATGTTCAGACCAAAAAAGACCTTGTGTGCAAGTGTAATCATGAACAAAGAGATACATTTATACTTTTCTTACAAGTTACATATTTATTGACATATCAATGCTAATAAAAAAAATATTTGTAAATATGAAACATTAATTTTTGCATGCTTTATAAATAAAATTTTTAAAAATATGCAGCAGTGGATGGTGTTTGACAGTAATGCCGATTAGTAGTGTTAAATGGTCCTGTCGCTGGAAAAGTCTTTGCCATTAAAAAAAATATTAATTTTTCTCTGCCTCTATAGATTTTTCTTATTAAAATTTTGTGTTGAATATGAGAATACTCCTTTTGCTGAAAAGGTTAGCTTTATTAGCTTTCGAGCTCACCAACAGACAACCCCTCTCCTCTGGAAAACTTCAGTATGCTAAGGTGCATATAATTTTGAGGTCAGACCTGTTTACCCCCATATTTAAGCATCCATTTTAAGAAAATGTATTTTTCTGAGAGCAAAATATACCAACTTAAGCCTGCTTAGATTATTTACCCTCAAACAATCAGTTTTATCCCTTTTGTCTGAGTTATGAAGACACCTTTTTAAAAAGTTAAATATTTCTCATCTTTGACTTAATATAAGTCAAAGGAAGTAGGAGGATCCATTAATCTCTGTAGACAAATTTATTTGTGTGTACTAATGTACAAACCCAGTACAATGTTCCACTTGCCTCAGAAACTTTCCTTTAATTAACAGTCGGCTCTCAATATGTAGCAAATCAAGGCGAATCAAATACTTAACAGTGCATACCCCATTATCTTTTAATCTGTAAAACTTAAAACAGAGTAATTCCTCAGACAAATATTTATCACAAGACACCCTGGCCTTCCCATAATGCAAATTACAGTAAAGAAATTGAACAGCCCTGGCCTTCCCATACTGCAAATTACAGTAAAGAAATTGAACAGTCTCCAAGTGATGCATGACTCAACAAACCTTGTCTTATTATCTCTTCAATACAATAGAGAGTTAATTTAACATAGCAAAATTATGACAAGGATTAGGAAACATTGCAGTGATATTTTTTAAAGGCCTTGATAATTATTAGAAATGATGGATTTTTCAGATTTTTAGATGTCAGTTGGCTTTATTAGTATTAGATATATAAATAGGCAAGCATGGCAGAATTTCAATTAATTATTGAAGAATGTGCCCAACCCCTACGCATATATACCCCCCATAATCAAAATCTCTTAAATCAACAACCCCCCCCCCCACCTCCAATGCATTGCATATGTTATACATGGATGGCCCCAAGTTTAATGTAGAGTTCAACTGAATCTACACTAATATAAATCAAAGTAGAGTACTATGCTCACAAATATGCAAACAAAATTTTTTTTTAAATCCTTAGAAAAACAAAGGGGTCCAGTGTTCAAAGGGTTGACAGAGATTCGTCAGACACATTCCTATCCGCTTGATCATCACTATTGTGTCTCAAACTCTGAATGCCATGGTTCATTTGAGACAGTGTGTGGTATGATGTTTGGACTGAGGCTTTACAACTTTGAACCTTCACTAAGAGGCAATCCTGCATTTTAAAAATATATTTGCAAATTTATTCGTTGTCAAATTTTCAGAAATGCAATTAATCATTTTTTTAAAAAAGTTACATAAAAGAATTACAAGCATAACAAAAATTGTGTTTTTTTTATTATCGTTCACTAAACCTTTATCTTTCATTATTATTTTTTTTTTGTGATACCTGTAATGATAACATCAGATCTTAAATAAGTTTGTCTTACCAACTGTGCAGCAGAGAAATCATTATTTGCTGCCCATGTGATATTATCTAAATGTAAGCTGACATCATTTAGTGTTGGAACAAGTTGCATAAACACCTCGTTGGCGTACCTAGGAGATAATATATTAATAATATACGATTTAACAGTGGAAGATTAAGAATGGCAAAGGAAATAATAAATCATGATAAATAGTCATGGTGATGAAAAAACTTTACAGCACTAGTGATAAATTCCCTTTCACGGCAAACAGCTAAAAATTAAAGGTGCATTTGAAAATTATAATAATAGAGTGGCAGATCGTGAAATAATGACAAAGTTAAAAGGATATTTGAAACACTATTTTCTGCAAAGTGTTCTTGTCACTTCAATGTTTTGCCATTCCCTGTTGTCTATCTTTATTTATATGTATATAAATATAGATAAATAGGATGTGGTAAATAAATTTGAATTCATGGATTTATGAACCTGAAGAAAAAAAAGAGTTGCAGGGTGCAAGGGATTTAGAAAATGCATTCCCTAACCTATAAGATTTATTTTTAAATTGTATCACTGATAAATCTTAGTTTTTTTTGTCTTTACTGTAGATCTGCATTGATGTTAAAAGAAAATATGCCGAGTAAGGCCTTGATGATGTAAATGTGAGTGTTAGAAGCTGTCCGCAAAACACCTACCTTTATTTCACTAAAAGTTATGGTTAAATTAGTTATGAATATAATCATCTTGAATAATATTTATTTATGATGCAACTCTTTTTGTGTAAGTATTTTATGAACATTTAGGTGCATAATCTTCAAGAAGATGTTGTCTTACTCAATAACAAAGTTTTACTGCTTCTACAATTATTTGCTGTAACCAATGATTTTTACCTATGATGTGCAGCATTCATTTTTATATGATTTCCGACAAATGGTTTTTGTAGACGATTGATCAAGAAATGAGTATTCTGCAGTATAGAATCTAACTCGGAGCATATTTCTTTCACCATATTTATCCGTCTTTCTGAAAAAATGAAAGTGTACACACAATCACAAGTTTTGGTAAACTAAAATGCAAAATAAAAATAATTCAGATAAAGAGGATCAAATAAAGATGTGAAAACTCATGCGAAATGTTTTTCTGTTTAATATTTGTGTGTACCCACCAATTATTTCCAAGTGCAATATGTCAACCATCTCTTTCTCTTTAGTAAGTTTGGAAACAGCTTCATTTGCCTGAAAATTATCAAAATCTACAGTAAAAGTTTTCTTATTTTGATAAAAGAACTAGTACTAAACAACATCCACACTAATACAGTGGTTCTCAACCTGTGGGTCGTGACCCCTTTGGGGGTTGCACGACCCTTACACAGGGGTTGCCTAAGACCATCAGAAAACACATATTTATGAAGTAGCAACGAAAATAATTTTATGAGTCCGGGGTCACCACAGCTTGAGGAACTGTATTAAAGGGTCACGGCAGGTTGAGAGCCACTGCACTAATACATATTTTAACGAATAACGTAATTTCACAGCTTGCTTCCTACTATTGCCAATTGTTCTGAGGACACTTTTTGAAGTACTTACTTCTAGGCATTTTCTAACCCTCATATCTATTTATAAAACACTAATTCAAAGAAATGAAATTTTGTTTAATATAATCTGATTTTGATTTGCTTCAGTCAATCATACAATAAATAAACTGATATTAAACAGTTGGATATAAGTGCAAATTATTGTTTCCTGTAATGCCCCGTTTGTGCCAGTCCTCCAGCCGAGGCAATGGCCAAGGAATGCTTCTTCTGTTTATCAGTTTATTTTGTGAGAGCTTGCACTGATTCAGGTTTTTCTCCTTAATGTCTTTATATTGTTCTGCACCAGGTTACTTTGGATCATACATGGTTTATTTTTCCCTGGGCTGTACATCTGAATTCTGTCCACCAAAACGAGGTTGGTGGCATTCTACAGACATGGCAAGACAATATCAAGGTTCTGCAATATTTTTCACTTCCAATCTGATTTTCAGTATTTCATTTGAGATTTTTTTTAGTTGTGCAAATTTCAATTTACAATATTTTTATATTATATAATAAACATTACTTTATTATGTATTTATGGGAATTTTACACATTGAGATATCTGCTCACCTTTGTCAAATTTCTCTAATACAACATGATAAAAGAAATCTAAGGGACTTTTTTGTTGACTGAAAACTCACCTTTATTAAGGCCTTGTTTGTAACTGTTATTGCTTTTTGAAGAGCTATTATTTTAGATGAATGTGATTCAGCAAGTGCTTGGACACACTTTGACTGGTCCTTCTGAAAATTGTAATTTGAAAAACTAAAATCGAGACATTTCTTTCCCAGATGTTACTTATTAAAAAATATAAAAACAAGGACTTTGTGACAATGTGTTATGATGGTGTATGTAACGACTCAGGGCGTAAAACATCTAAAAATAGAATACACAAGGTACAAATAAAATCATGAAAGGAGATAAAAAAATAACTGAATCATGGGAGACAAAGAGTGATAGATTTGGAGTAGATACTTTAGATCAGAGTGGACGTACATATTCATAGTGAATGAATAAGGAGTGATTATATAGTTTTGGAACTACACAGTAAATTACTTGACAAATCTCACAACACCATTCCCCTTTCAAGGCAAACATAATATAATTATAGATGGTCCCCAACCAATCATATTTCTCGATCCATTCACTGCTAGACACAGAGTGCAAATGCAAGTTAAAACTAATATCCGAAAAATGTACTTTTTAATGATTTTTCTTATTATCAGAAAAAACTACGGGAATGATTATATTTTCAATCAGGTCTCTTAAAATCATAGTTCTGTCAGGTCTTGGCATACAATGGTAAAAACTATCTCAAAATCGTACATTTTATGCCAAAATCGTAAGAGTAAACAGGTCTGGTATTGCGACTTGAAAGTATTAATTAAGCCTGTTTAGAGCAGGAGCTTAGCAAACTTAAAAATCAACTAATTAAATATAAAATATTTTTTGCTGCATTGCATGAAATTCTGCTACAAAGGGAAAAAAGCAGAACACAACAATTATATAATGAAGCAAGAAGTGTGGCCAGCAAAATTTGCAGAAAGAAAAACGTGTTTGGGAAAAAACAAAAATAGTAGAGATATAAGAGTTGGCAAAAGAAAGAGATGTGAGGGGAATGTACCTGAAGATAAAGCAGGAAAAGAATGGCTTTCAAGCAAGATCCCACATGTGTGAAAGCACGGATGGAGAATTGATCACAGAGAGCAGTAGAGTACTGGAGACATCGGCACAACACTTTGAAGGCTTACTGAATGGCTCAGGTGGAGGAACCAATGAGGATTACACTCCGCCACAAGGAGGACCGGACCCACTGGTCAACCGACCAACATTAAGTGAAATAAATAATCTCCACCATGAAAAATAACAAAGCCCCAGGAATAGACCTTATCCCTGCAGACATCATAAAGCTAGGTGGTAACGAACTGCATAAGCAAATACACGAACTTATAACCAGAATCTGGCAGGAGGAAGAAATGCCAACTGAATGGGACACGGCACTCATAATCCCAATCCACAAAAAAGGATCTAAGTTGATCTGCTCAAACTATAGAGCTATCTCCCTTCTTAATGTAATGTACAAAATCCTCACAAAACTTATAGCGAGAAAATTGGAAAAGTATAGTGAACAGATCCTAGGGGACTATCAATGTGGATTCCGGCAGAATAGGTCAACCACGGATATTTTCACTATAAGATGTCTCCTGGAGAAATGCTACGAATATAACATGGACATACACCAACTATATGTGGATTACAAAACAGCATACGGTAGCGTAAACAGGTATTACTTATACAATGCTCTACAACAGCGGTTCTCAACCTGTGGGTCGCGACCCCCAAAGGGGTCGCACGACCCTTTTCCAGGGGTCGCCTAAGACCACCTGAAAACACATATCCTTACAGCTATGAAGTAGCAACGAAAATAATTGTGTGGCTGGGGGTCGCCATGACACGAGAAACTGTATTAAAGGGTCGCGGCACTAGGAAGGTTGAGAACCACTGCTCTACAAGAACTTGGAGTCCCTAACACGCTTACTCGGCTCATACATATGAATCAAGGTACAGGGAGAATACTCTAGGGAGTTCCCAGTTAATCGGGGCCTCAGACAAGGAGACTCACTATCATGTATCCTGTTTAACATCATGATAGAAAAAGTTATTAGAAGCATACACGTTTAGCACCAGTGGAACCATAACAAACTACTTCCAGAGAGATACTACAGAACAACGACCATCAGGAACCTTATATAGCCAACCATTGCAGTACCTGGCATATGGAGATGATATAGCACTACTGGGTAGAAACCATAATGACATAATTAAAGCATTCAGGGAACTTGAAAATGCCTCATTCAAAGCTGCCCTTGATATAAATGAACCGAAGACAAAATATATGATAATGTCAAGAAACTCCCATGCTGATAATAAAATCAATATAAACAATGAGATGCTGTAAAAGATCTATCACGAGGCACCATGACATAATATTGAAATAGTAATTGGCGACTTTAAATTAATGCCAAAATAGGGGCAGGAAAATTTTGCCAACTATTTTTCTTTAGTAAAACTCATTTCTTTTACATTATTTATTAGAAATATTAAATATTTGTCTATGTAACTGTAAATTGTTTTTCCTATGTCCCAATAAAAAGTAAATGCTATGATGATGTTGAGTCTTATTTGTTTATTTGATGCCTTTCATTTATAATTAAAAGCCTAATTAATTTTTTTTTTAAATACTAACTTAAATCAGGCCTTTAAATGTAGATGCAGTTGTTAGTATTAGTTTATTAGTAATAATTAGACTTAAGCCTATTAAAATATACACTATCATGTAGGGTAGGGCCTACTGCCCACTAGAACTATTTTTAAAATTTTAGTAATAGTAGGTGGAAGCAAACTGAAATTAAATTTTTGTATTCTAAAATTACATTTTAAAATTTACTTAAGATTTATTCAGTTATTTAAAGACAACAGAATATTAAAACTCTCGCATCAAGTATAATCGAGAGCTAATTCCGTTCCTGGTGAAGGTAGAGAAAATGGCAAAATTTATTTATTCTGTCCTGTGAAGGGGGAGTGAATGACATGTTAAAGGTCTAACATTCAGGGGAAAAGGGTAAATTGACAATTTCAAAGTTATTCCAGATCCAATTGATATGGTTAATAGTATTTTTTAGGTTCCGATAATGTTAAAATAGCTATAAAAAAAAAAATATATATATATATAGGACATTTATAGCTTACCAATGGTCAAAGTGACACAGCAAAAAAAAACATGGAGTTCCCCTCATTGGGTAAATCATATGAGTGTCACCGTAAGTAGGTACTTTGACTAAAAATTTCAATATTGTCCTATTGCCATAAATGATGCATAATTTTAAAGGGCTAGCTATAAACTTGTGAAAAAAAAACCCATTTCATCTTCTAACTTTTATGAAAACAATTTATGATTTTTTTGGTGAAATTTTTATACCCCTTTATTTATCTTTTTTTAACTGTGAAAACGTGTAACTGACTTTCCAAATTTCTGCCTTATTTTTCACACAACTTTTTTAATTTAAAAGATAATGCTACCAAATTTTCAGGAGACATTCTCATTGCAATTTATAACACAATGAACAACAAAACTTTAACATAACATCAAGACTTTGTATTTTGGATAATTTAAGTTTGGGTATGTTAAGAAAAGAGTGAGCGGAAAAATCGTTATTTGTAAAGGTGAAAAAAAAAAATGATGTTTATTGAATTTTAACTAATTATATTATGCTAGTGTTAAATTTTAAAACAAATCTTATATTTATAAAAAGTTAAGTAGTATCTTTTAAATATAAAAATGAAAGCATGTAATTTTAAATATAAATTAGTCAAGAAAAATAATCCATAAGACTAATCCTAGCATACCAGTAAGAAATTAAAATTTAAAAGGTGTGTCATTTCTGCCTGTCATTTTCTACTTAAACTGCTCTTCACACTACTTGGTCTTGTTGATGAATCCCAAAATCTTTCCCTCATAAAATTTCTCTTTGCCATCTACTTCCATACGTGGTTTATTGATAATGATATTTTCGATGTAAGTGGAATTCTACAATGATCTCAAAAAGAAAATTAAAATTTGTACCTGAAAGAAGCTTAGAATCAAAATCTTTAATCATAATTAGGGGTGTGCCGGATCCGTTTTTTCCAACCGGATCCGGATCCGGATTTTCTTATGCGAAATCCGCCGGATCCGGATACCGGTTTCTCCCGGATTCCGGATTTTGGTACTATTGGTAGATACTTCGGTAAGTCAAGGTGGACTACTACTTTTTGTGTATGGGAATTCGCAATCGGCGCCAAAAAATCCGAGTTTTTAATTTTCCGATGTGTGTGTCTATTTATTATTAAATTAGTACTTTCGATATATATTTGAGTTCCGTTCCATTTGGATAAGTGTCTTACGAGAGACGCCATGTTTCTACGCGTTCGCAGCAGGTTATGCAGCTCGCTCAACCTAATTTCGCCATGGGGTTGGCCACGCCCCCCTTTTTAATGGCGGAAGTTGACGATACTTAGGAAATATTAATTTATTATCACTATTTACATCAAAATAATTGATAACTTGTGTTTCAGAATGCATTTAAAGACATTTAAACTGGAATGTTTTAATTTGAGCTTTAACAACCCGGTAGAATCCATATTATAAATGATCAGAATTTACCGTGTGCAACACGTTGTCATTGGCAACCATTCACAGCCACTTGCATAACTGTATCGTAGTACTACCTCAGAGTTTCATTCATAAGAGTTTGCCGTGTGCAAAAACTATTAAACCATTGGTCAGGGAAAGCTTTAATTAATTATTCATGTGCCAAAGTTGAAAGTTTAAACTAAGTCTAAACAGTATTTTAGTGATAAGGCAGGGAATGCGTTGCCTTATATAAACTATATAGTCATTGCGCATGACGGGATTGGTGGAATGAGATCACAGAATGTGGAGATGCAGTCCATGTTAAAAAATGACAAACCAAGTCGTACTTTAAAAATTCATAACTTTAAAACTACAACAGCTAAAAATATGATTTTGGTGTTATAATTCTTTAAAAAATTACATCTTTTCAACTATGCCATTGGTTTATTTTTACAAAAAGTTTAAATTTTCTTATCAAAGTCCCTACACTATTGGCCACTATTAGCGGTGCTGACTCTAGCCTCTGGTATGTACGGAATATTAAACATTAAACAAGCTCAACGCTCGAAACAATCGATTAATGTATCGTGATCGTGTGAAATTCGGGAAAGAGAATTACTTTTATTTCAGATTATGATCCGGTGAGTCACAAAATCTGGCAAATTCCGAAATCCGGTATATTCCGGAATCCGGTTGTTCCGGATACATGTAAATCCGGCGGAACCGGATTTCACCGGATAGTGCAAAATCCGGCGGAACCGGATTCCGGACCGGGGTCCGGCACACCCCTAATCATAATCCTTAAACTACACAATTTCTTGTTTCATTTGCATTTTTTGTGTTGATTAAAACACATTTTAAAACAAATGTTACTTGATATACAGTAGAACCAGGTAATGTTGATGGCCACTGGGTTTGCCAATATTGAGTTTTTTTCTTCTTTATATCAACTTTAAGTGTGGAGAATTGTATGTCAATATAAGGCACCTTTTCCTCAAAAATGTTTTAAGAAATTTAAAGATCATGTCTTTCATATTAAATTTTGAAAAACATTATATATTGATGTATATGTGTGTCAATTCTCATTGATGTAGGTCGTGATGTAACCTGCATTACCATAAGGTCGCTCAGTCTAATTTTGACATGGCATGGGACACGCTCCCTTTTTAATGGAGGAAGATGCTGATACTTGGGAAATATTTAATTATTACCACTATTTACATCAAAATATTTGATAAATTATGTTTTAGAATGAACTTAAATGTTATTGAAAGAATAATATTTTAATTTGAGGTTTAAAAAACCCTGTAGAGTCCATATTATAAATGATCATAATTTCCCATGTGCAAATGTCATGCCATGGGCCATGGACAGATATTCACAGCCGTTCTATCTCAGAGTTTGATTCATAAAAGTTTGCCGTGTGAATCATAAAAGTTTGCCGTGCGCAAAAAATATTTAACCATTGGTCAGGGAAAGCTAATTACTTATGTGCCAAAGTTGAAAGTTCAAAATGAGTAGTTCCAAACAGTATTTTAGTACTTAGGGCATGCGTTGCCTTATATAGACTGTAGAGAATATATAGGTATAATGAACGCAGTAGATTTGGTGAACAAAAAAAACATATTAATATGTTATATTATATTAGATTTACTAATATACATATTGCTTAATTAGATAAGCTACAATTTATCTATAATTTATAATTGTATAAATATAATATTATTAAAATTATTTTTTAATACAGCATTAGTTCTGAAAATAAAAGAAGTATAAAATTATCATTAAAACGAGAATAATATAGCTCGTGGCGCAAACAGCGGAATTGGGTCACAGAATGTGGAGATGTGGTCCATATGTTAAAAAAAGCCAAACGAAGTCGTACTTAAAGATTTATAACTTTAAAATGACAATAGCTAAAAATATGATTTGGGTGTTATAATTCTGTAAAAAATTAGCTCTATTTAACTAAGCCATTGGTCATTGGTTTATTTTTACAATTTTTTTTTTTTACCAAAGTACCAAGATGTCTTCTAATGTGAAAGGGCAGAGTCAGATCTTAGTAAGGGTCATAGGGACTCTTGTATTATTTAAATTATAAATTACACTAACATGAAAAAATATGTTTCTATTGCGCCGACGTCCATTTCCGATACAAATTAAGTGGCAGTCTCCCCTTCCTTCTTTTACCGAGGCCGAGGAAAATGTTAGTTTTTAAAAGTACTTACCAGCGTTTTAAACCCCATTTGCTCTGCAAAAATTAAGCAATTTCGAATATGTGTGACAGATTTGCATTCTTCTTCCCATGGGTTAATTGGATCAAGATTAAAGCTGGCTCCTTGGGCTTGGTCTGTTTTTGACCCGATTAGTAACTTGATATCATTATTCATAATAAGCATTCAAGCGTTGTTAACCACAACAATTTCGCCGCCATGAAAATCAAACGAGCACAACCAGGTACGATAAAACTGTGGAAAGTGTTAAAACATATCTTAAGTTTCTCACATTTTTATTGTGAATAAACTGTGTTTCACAAAGTTTGACTCTCCTTATAAAAACAAAAGTTTTTCAATAAATTTCAAATTACAAATAGTAACATTTCTTTAAAGTGAACTTAGAAATATCCTAATAAGACCTTGTCAGAAAGCCGCACCTTAACTGGCAATTCATTTTAATACTCTTGGTTTCTTAAAGATTTTAAGTTCCGTATACGTATGACGCGTATGTTTCCTAACTATAAACATATGTTGCAATTTTTCTATGATACTGTTCAATTGATATAAGTGTACAATCAATATTCTAATATCATCCATTACTCAAATATCTTTCCCTACCCCCCCCCCCAACTCTCCGGACTGGTGGTTTTAAAAGCTTTCTTAATATGGTATAGTATAGTATAAATAGATAGTATCAATTTCTCATGGTCCCGCTAGTTTCAACGATCATCCCCCTGGGTAATGTAATTGGTCTACTATTCTCAATTATTTATTTCATATATTTGTGGTGATGGTAAGGCTAAGGGGACCAGGAGGTGGATAGACATCTATAAATTACGTCGTGCATCGAAACTGTGATGACTGGGGGAAATGAAAAGATGGTAATTAAAAAATAAACGCCAAAAGAATAGCGTGACGTCATTTATGGATGGCCTTCATGTGGCTGGTTTTGCTAGAGTTAGAGGTATCACACAGTTGAAAAAGACCAAAAATGCTGCAGGAATCACAGTGACACGGTTTAAACTTTTGTACTTACAACGAATCTACGTTCTAAAATACAAGTTTTTTTAAAATTATTTTAATTTTTTTGCTGTTTTGCTCTTTCACTGAGAAGGCTTTGTTCGTTCGTCGTTCTGTTTTGTTTAAGGTTTCCCCTTACATATCCTATGGGTTTTTTTTTCTCCGGAAGGCAGCCCCCCTCCTTTTTTAAAGTATTATTCCCATTGCAAGGAATCAACTATTTCAATTTCAATACATGTCAACTAACTCACACTAACTTTTTGTAAAAACAGATATCTGTAAAAGTAAAAGATTGTCCTGTTCACTAATTGTGTGCCTCAGTGCTCTTTTTTTTTGTTTAAAGTCGTGATTACGCCTAAGGTTCATTAAATATTATATATAAACTTTTATTGCTCGAAACATATGTTCATTAAAAACAGAAGCATACAGAAAAATAGTTTCATATCACGACAAAAGGAAGTAAAAATTATAATTTTGTAACTTCACAGATCACGAGCGTCTAACTTTCTGCACATTACATGAACTGTATGAGGGGCCTAAAATAATATGAGAATTATAAAAAAGTATTATTATATGTATATATATTTTATTATTTTTCCGTATGTTAAATTGTGTGAGTGTAAAAATAATATGCATTTAAGGAACTAATGGACTTCGAAGTTACGCAATCTGTGGTCAACATTTTAAAATTTTGTTATATCCAGGTATATAGCCTGACCATATAATATTACATTATCTTTCTCGGAACTTTCTGTGCGTAGCATCTGAAGACTAAGCAGGGAAACAGCTAAAAAGTGCATAACAATATATTATATTCGAAGCTAGTCTGGTCCGTTCCCACAGACATTCTTAGCGGTTCGGTCTTCGCCAGAAGACTTTGCTTCATTTAAAATAATGGGCCATAAAATAATAATTATCTGAAATTAATATTATCTATTTTGTCATCGAAGATCGAATGAAAAGCCAATTAGTAAATTAGTTAGTCTTTGCTTGCTTTGAGTTTGAGACTTTTACTGATTTACTGTAGACTGTAGTCAGTGTTGTGACTCCGGGTAGCCAATTCAGTATAGTATATAGTATAGCATGGGGCAGGCAATCTAGAAGCAAATACATTGAATGAAGTTGTGACTGGTAACTCAAACAATACTGTCAACAGTAACAGTTAGTTGTCTTGGTCTTGTCCTAGGGTAGGCTAATTCTAAACTAATATTTTTAATAACCTGCTAATTAGACCTACTGACTACTGTAAAATGTAATGACCACTGATAGATAGTACAGTCTGTTAGTACAGAGATACACACTGATAGAACAAATAGTATAGTAGTAATAAAATGATAATTAAATGTCAGACTTTTAAGGTGGAGTTATGTCCCAGTTTGACCGTGTAATGTTTTAGAAGACTTGGTTCCTGCCGAGTTTAATTTTGTCCCAGTTTCAATCTTATTTTGGTAAAAATTATTGTGTACTGTCTGTCTTAAATAATCTCGTAAGCCATAGGCATAGGCCTATATTATATTAACATTGTTATATCGGTATCAGAACATGGTTGGTAAGAAATTCCATATTTAATAATTAAATGAAGCTAATATTCTATAGTCTATACCAGTGGTCAGCAAACTCATTAGTCAAAAATCAGCAGCAGGACGATAAAAGATTTTTGGAGAGCCAAATTTCTTTTCAAGAACCTGTCAAGAACCATGTTTTTCGGAGTCAAAACCGATTTGTAGCCGAATGGCTGAGCCGCACTCAGGTCACTAATGAGCCCCATGCCACTCGCTGACCACTGTTCTATACTATATGACCTCTATGATCTATGTAATGACTGTCAAGTTTTAAGCTTGTTTTATGCATTTTTGTATTAAAAGGTAAGCATATAAATTTGAGGCCTCTTTGAATATGATAAGGGCTGCGCCAAATGTACAGCCTACAACCTATTATTTATTTATAGTAATGAATAAAGAAGTTACCGGAGTGGGGGTGGAGAGGGGGAAGCAGCAGAAGTAGGGCTTTTACTCAAATGTTTGTTATTTTACAGTTACAAATGTTAATATAACTACCCGTTTTTGATACAATTATTTGAATGGCATAAAAAGATTCATTCAGTTTGCATTGAAACATCTTACTTAATTTAATTAAATTTCCATTAGTATAATCTCCTATGTGCATTCTGTTTAAAATTGTGAAAATCTAAATTCATATATGTGTCAAAATGCACCCCTGCATTTTGAATTTTAAAAAAAGAAATGTGGGGAGGGTGGCTCAAGATATTTCGGTCTATAACATCATATATTATTTATTGATGAAATGCTATCAGATGCCATTATCAGTTCTTATTATGCAGCTTTGCCTTCACTTGGCCCTGGCAATGCATAAAAGGTCAAATTAATTTATTTGTGGTTTTGGAGGGGTGTTGGTGGTGGTTAATGGACCTTTTAAATTTTTTTTCACTCCCTCTATAGGACTTTGCAACTGGCTAAAAAGCAGAGGTTTAGCCTCCGGTTTATCTTTTTTGCCAAGAAAACAGTAACTTAACAAGTACAAACAGACATCAGCGTAAAAGCGGTCGGCTTTTCTTTTATTAATCGAAACTAATTTTAGTCATGTGTGTATTAAATAAAAGCGTTTGTCTAGAGGATTATCATTTGTAGACCTGTTTACCCTACCCTTTCGCCATAGTAACTACGCTTTCAAGCCTTAGACTACGGCACTACGCAACACCTAAAAAAACTACAATTTCAGGACTTTTCGTTTGTGTTGTTTATTTTACGAAAAAAATTAATAATTGGGGTGTTTTCATTAAAAAGTTACCACATTTTTTTGTATTTACACTGTAAGCAATCAAATAAGAATAACAGTGATTGGCCTTAGCGGTTTCAATCAACCAACCAGAATATTTTTCTTTTAGAGGATTTCGTTGTTAATACTTAACTGCCAGTGTGCTTGCCTAAGATCTTTTCTCATCCTTAAGAAACAAAACAGAGGACCATATCCTGCATAATTATTTGTGTTAAATTACATAAGCAGGCGAGTAGATTTCCTTACACAACTTGTAGTTTGATTGACTAACACACACACACAACCCCCCTCCCCTTTTCGCTAATTGAACAAACTACTCTATGGAGCTTGAGATTATGTTTTTGAGATTTGAAAACTACTCAGACACTCACCCAGGGGTAAACAGGTCTGTATTTTTGTGTACGGAATTGACAATTATTAATTAAATTTTTATTAGGTAAAAGATTACAACTCGAGTTTGAAGACAGATTCAAAGAATTAATTTGATTAAAATTTATGAAGTGCATCGAGACAACTCGAAGTTGACAACTGAAAATTTAATGATAAATCTATAAATTCACAAATTAAATTTTGCCATGATCAAATGAATAAAGAAACTTAATCTATAACTATATAGTCGATTCTAATACGTATTTTAGTTTCTTTGCAACTACATCAATATGCTTTTAAATTCTAATTTACAACCTTTATCGGTAGTCAAGCTCAAAATTTCGAATAGAACTAAAATGCACAAAAAGAGTACTATAAGAAAAGAACTGGCATTTAGCTTTCCAATGATTCCTAGGTTATCTCTCTATCACATATAGAAGAAAAGTTATGATTTTTTTATTGTCCCTTTTTAAGCTACGTGATGTAGAAATATTATTCTGCCTATAATCTTTCTTTAAAATTTAGTTTGTAACTTTTTTTTTTCAAAGAAAAACGATAAAAAACGATAATGAACAAAATAAAACACATAAATTGTGAATTAATTTTTGTTTTAACCTTAAATTAATATGATTAGATAAGGATAGGATGTGGTTAGTATTACAGATATTTAAAAAACAATAATTTTTTAAATAAAAATAAAATAGCATAACTACTCAATTAATGAAGCTATAGAAATACAATTTTCCACAGTTACAGATACTGTCATGCTGAAATTTTAAAAATATATTAATTATTAAAATAATTAACCTAAAAAAAAAAATTGATGGAAAGCTACTGCGGCAGACATATTGGTACAATTAAATGCTTTATTTTTAAACAAATAAAACTATTGTAATAAAATTTGCCTCAGTAACAGATAGTGTTCCACTGAAATTAGAGGCATTTTATTAATTATTATTTCCCATCAAAATAATTCATCTCCACATTTTTTTTTAAAATTACGAAAAGCTACTGCCACCAACATATTGGTCATACAATGAAATACTTTATTTTTAAAAACTAATAAAGCTATTATAATAAAAATTTTCACAGTAACCATTAATGTCCTACAGAAATTAAAGACATTTTAATGAATTATTATTTCTCAATTAATTAACCTCAACATTAAACGCAAATTTGATGAAAAGCTACTCAGGCTGAAATATTAGTACATTTAAATTCTTAAATGTTTAAACTAATAAAGCTGTTGTAATAAAATTGTACACGGTAACAGATAGTGTCCTGCTGAAAGTAGAGAAATTGTATTAATTATTCCATTTGCCAGGTCACAAATGCTTATAAAGCTGCTGTTTTCGCCATGTGTAAAGCCATCTTTGTAATTTGTAGTTCTTTGTACTCGTCGGTAAAAAACGATGACCCTGGGTGAAAAGGGAAGAAATAACCCCAGTTGCAGTGTCCTATAGTTAGAACCTGGCCACGCCACTGATTCCACTATGATTGTTTAAACATACAAACTTTTCAAAACTTATATGTATATATAAATATATATATTGAAAATGCATTTCTTAGAAAAAGAAAGTAAATTTAAAGAAGAGGCCTAAGGTAAACCGAAGTTAGTAGGCCAAATTCTTATAAGTATTATTAATTTATTCATTTTATGGTTTTGTATGAATTATTCTGCTTTACTTTACCTGAATTATTGTAAATGAGTCAAGAAAATTTTGCATGAATTGAGGTCAAGCTCATTAGATAATAATAGATAGTTAATAAATTGAAAAAACAACTCAATTAAATTGAAGAATTATAATTGTGAATTAATCCAAAATTTAAAAATGGTATTATCATTATTATTATTACTGAATTTTTAAAATTTTAAAATCACATGGGCTGTTTAAGTGTACATGAAGAAGAAAAAAAAGCTAATGTTACCCAAGCATCTTGAATATTGTGTAGTCTGGTTTGACACAAAAAAATTGTGGTTCAAATTTAAAAAAATTAATACTATAACTACACTATCTACTTTGATAGTAAGTGAGCAGTAATTATTCTGTACCTGAGGGTATTTGAAAAAGTACACCAATTTTTCAGGTTGAAGTGGTTGAGAATAGAAAGGATAATAAAAATTAAGAGGGAATTAAAACTATTTTATATGATTATATACACTTGTTCTAAAACATCTGATCAAGTAATTGTTATTCACAGAAATCATGGATGAAAATCTAGCAGCCAACCCATTTGCTGCTCTCTTTTCAAGTGTTGAACAAGCTAAAGCATTTAGTGAAGACACTTCACTAAACATTGGTGAGGACAAGCAGTATGATGATGAAGATCAACTGGATGAGTCAGGTAGCTATTTAATTTCTCATGGACTTTCATTTTCTATATGCATACATCTTGACTTATTTATATGCATACATCTTGACTTATTTATATCCAACTAGGGCTTAACTGGTTGCAATTTTTCTACACCGGGTCTGGGTATTTTGAGAAATACTCTGCGGGTCCTAGAGTTACAAAAAAAGACTAACTTCTTATTTTCTATAATATGCAACAAAATCTACTGCCCTCTTTCATAGTGAGAGTGCATTGCCTTCGTCAACCGTTTGTGTCAAGAAATAACCCACTGATAGGAAGAGGCATTGCTGGATCCCGTAATAGAGGTGACATACAAAAGCCTGTAGAGAGGGACAATACTGTAATTCTTTTTCTGAGAATGACTTACAAAACAACAGTCGCAGTATAACCAAAATGGCAATTCTTTCATCTACCTGGCTACGGTAAAGACTCACAGGCGCACACGTGCCTGAATGGAAAGGAGAGTGCAGTTCTGTGTGGTGTGAAGCCCCAGAACAAAGATGTGAAAAAACAGACATTTTTTAAAATAAAAAAATTCCGCTCTAAAGAAAAATTTCAGCCTATTTACAGGAGTTCAGACGTCACACACGCAGCTCGCTTTGTGGCAGCCTTTTTTTCATTCTGTACTATTTAGTAAATTACTTTTATCATGATAATTTAAATCTAAATTTATCTATGTTAATTAAAAAGAAGAAATATTTATTTAAACAATAAGAATGCTGTTACTCAAAAACTCAAACATTAAAAAAATACTATAATTCTATTTATATCTTACAATTTAAATAATGTTTAATTTTTCTAGATATTTCTGAGAGTGCCAGCAATACGTCTTTAGAGATTGATGAAGATAAAGAGATCAATATACTTGCTGAGAATATTTTTAAAGTCTCGCTTCAGCCTGGTAATTAATTTTCTTCTTTCATTTTTTTTTTCAATATATTAATTTTATTGTCCAACAACATTTTTAAAATGTGTAAACTTTAATTTCAAGTTCAACATTTTCATTAAAATTTATCATTTTAAAAATATGTATTGATCTAAATGTTCTTGGATGCTTATGTTAATAAGACTCTTTTCAAAATTACAACTCACACTCAGGAACAGTTATTCTTACCTCACAATTATTTGACGAAAGTCTTGCTATAGACTAATTTTAAGGAACAACGATAAACTGAAAACAAGGAATGTAAAGACTGGAAAAAAAATATGTACACTTAATGACAAAGCAAATTCCATTCATTTGGATCAATAAAATTAGGTTAATAAATAGATTACAAGATAATTTAATCAAATAAAATCAGCTGTATTGAGTAATCTTAAAGGGAATAAAACATGTAAATGCTTACAAATACCAAGATTTCCACTGTATATTTGATACTATTGAAAAAGTTATAAAAATTTAATGTAACATAAAATTAAAATTTAAACTGATTTAAAATATAAATACTTTTAAAAACATGTTGTTTTAAAGCTAATAAAATTAATGATTATTACTTAACAGCAAAAGTCACAAATAAAAAGCCATTAAATAACAGTATAATTTTTAACAGCAGATACTAAAATTTACAGGTAACAAATATTATGGTTTTGGTTATGTTTTAGATTTTTATAAGGTACAAATAATCTTGGAATAAGCTTACTAACCACATATAAATTTTTAAAAAATTGTGGGTTGTGCTGACACTTATTTTTTTGTCTTTTATTTTTAGATCCCACAAAACGTCATAGCAGAAACGTCAGGTACTTTGCAGAAATAGCAGAAGCTTATGTGGACAATCCCAATATCAGCATCTCTAATCTAAGACATGTCAGTGTGTTAAAGTATTTCTTATATAATTTGATCATTTCAAAAATTAATTTATAAAAAGCTTAAAGAACTTTTGACTGAAATTTTTTAAAAAGCTAAGTGATTTGTTACAAATACTAATCTATGAAAGTATCCATTAATATTGAATATTTTTAAAAATGATCAAAATATATAATTTTTGTTTAACATACATTTTTAAAAATCATATATTTCAGATTGTCTTTGAAGTGCTTATGCTTGATGGACATGAGGAAGATTTTGAAATTAGCCATCAGTTGGATGATCAGAGAGAGCAAGTTTTTGAAAATCACAGCATTGAAAACTCAGAAGTCTTGACCTACCTGTACTGTAGCTATAGAAGGTTTTTAATACAAAATGAAAAATATCAGGTTTGTTTTCAAATTAATTAAAAAAAAAAATATTGCATCATAATCTGCTTAAGTTGAGGTGTGAATTTAAAATTAAGCTAATGTTTGATTTCCCAAAAATTTAATTGATTTAAAAAAACAAAAAAATAGATTTTCATTAGAAGAAATATAAGAAACAAAATTGTTTTAGCAATGCCATTTTAGACTTAAACATTGGTTTTAAATAATAAACAAGTAATAAAAAGATTTTGACTTAAAGTATGCTGGTGAAGATAAAAAGGTTTAAATTGAGTGTCTAGACAAATATGCAAATGTACTTTGTGCAACACCCGGCCAATTTAAGTAAAAAATATGTTTTCTCTTGGGTCATTGTTTCCATTTTTTTGTGATATTTCAGCGTATTTCATTTCACACAGATCCTATTTGCTTTTCTTTGCATTGTATGATATTTAATAATGATATTTTTTTTTTTAATTTCTTCAAAAAGCATAGAGCCTCATTTCATTTTAACTGTTTTTCTGTCATAGGATACCAAATCAGAGAGGATTTTGTCATTCCTGAAAGAATGCAAAGAAGTTATTTTATTGAATGCAAGAATGTGCTTGCAGCAGGTTGAGTTGTACCAATATCAGGATTTTGTTAGCCAGTTTATATACCTCTGTTTGGAGGAGGATTTGCCAACACAAGGTAAGTTACATTTTTAAGTACGAATTTTTTTTTTTTAATGCGTGCATCATTTTAGAGTTAAGAGAGGAAGGCTGTTTAAAAATTCTTTTAATTAAAATAAAAGTTTTTTATAACTGGAAATTATATATATATCAAATATAGATCTTGTCCTCTGTTTGGTTCACAGATATCAACAATTATCCTTGTCAGTTTTTACGTGAAGTGTCAGAAGCTATAGAAAGCAATAGTGACCAAGGATCACTTATTCAGTCATTCCAACCCATTCTTCATGAGATAAAACTGAGATTGAATTCAGAGACCATGAGCATTGTTGACAAAGATGCCAACAGATATGTTAAAGTCCTTCATTTTTTTACTGGCACATCAGCATTGGCTAGAGTAAGTAGGGTGCCATAGCTGTGAAGGTTGACATTAATGTCTCACAGCAATATGAGACTGCACTAAAAGTTTATTTAGAGGCTAGAAGCAGTTACATAAACTGACCTAATAAAGTGAACTAACGTCATTAGAATCTTTAACATTAAGCTCACTACTTAAATGTGGATAACAAAGAACCAGAAGATGATTAAAAAAATTTACAAATTCAGGAGTAAGTTGTGGAATTTTAAAGGTTGTGAAAACACTCAACAAAAAAATTATTACAATTTAATGTCAATGTTTTCTGAACAAGTCAGACTCTCCTAAATTTTTTTTTAAGACCTTAAAAATTTTCTTAAAATTTTAGATTCACTCTTGTTAATATTTTCTAGACATTTTTATCTCTCAACACACCGGAGCCATCCCAAAATTTTCATGGAAGAATCTATGAAATGACCCCGATTGGTGCAGCACTTAGCCTGAGTGTTCTGCCTCGTGGAGAAAATGGACCTTTCCAGTTCTTTTCAAAGCCTTCAACCCAGAGCAAGAAAGAAGTAGATATGGTGGAACAGAGCGTCTGGCGGGTATGCTTATGAAAAATCTTGTTTAAAATATATATGTTACTATGAAAGTTTGACTTAAATCATTAACACATCACATTTTATGCCATCAAATTTGTACTTAGCAAGAGGACTGTAGAACTTAGCAAGAGAAATGTAGAACTTAGAAAATAATATTGTGATTTATTAAATAAGGTAAAATGTTGATCTAGCAATTAATAAAAATTTTTAAACATTTATATCTAACTTAAAAGCTAAAATCTTCTCTGTTCTTATTTTCACTTTTTCTTGCTACCCCTGAGGTGCCTACTGGCGTACCCTAGCGAGCACCCCAGTTTGGGTGACCTTGTTTTAAAATATCTTGAGTCTGCTTTATTTAATCAATTACTATTAACACCTGCACTGAAATATTGATTTTTCAACAGTCAACAGAGCAGCTTGTGAGTGGTATTCACAAAATATTTGTTGACCTGATGAAAGTGACACCTGACATGCGACATTACACATTGCGGTGGTTAGGACTCTGTATCCAAGGAAATGCAGGTAAAATATATTACTGTGTGTCATGAACAAATGAGCTGAGGAACAAGTATTACTGAAATTAAACATTTAATGTTCTTTTGGGGAAAATTTTACCTATTGATTTTCATAATAACCTTATTAATTATAACCTGATCTTACAAAGAGTTTCAGACATGCAATACAAAGTTGTTTACAATCATTAACAGGTCGTGCCAAGTTGTGGGCCAGCAATCTTCCAGCTGATCTGTTTGTCAGTGATGCCTTCGCCGTGAATCTCACTCACATGCTCTTGATGTTTTGTAAGCCATTTTCAAACCCCAACTCATCCAAACTTCTCAAAATTCAGCCATCTTACACAAAAGCAGTCGCCAGTGGAGATAAAGAAATGCTACGGAGATCAGTGCATCTTCTTGGTATGTGGATCTTCTTGTCTTTTATGTATACAAAAAAAATAGAGGGGTGAATTTGTGTGTCTGACATTTAAACAGGATGATTTTTTTTTTAAAGTTGGGGGGGTGGATTAAATATTTCATTAAGTAAGCTGCTATTAGAGATAATACATTTAATTATCTAGTACATGTTTTCCTCCGTCTTTTTCAGGAATGCAGAAAGAAACTTGCTTGATTCCATTGGATGAATCAGTGACCATTGAAGAGGATGACACTTTTACTTTTATCACAGAGTGTTTTTACATAACTCAAAAAGCAATTCAGGTAGGTAAAGGCAATTTTTAAAATTATTATCTATGGGTTTTTTTGTTATTTGAAATAACCCATTTAATAACCATTAGCTGTGTATGGAAAGGTTCCAATGTTGTCATTTTTATTTCTTCACATTTTAAAGTCTTGGAGGTAGTGTAGATATTGGGTCCCAGTACACCCATAAAATATTTTTTGGTCATTATTATATCTTCTGTTTAAAATTGAAAATAGAGAAATGAAGTTAACATGTCATATTGGCCTTGTCATACCCTGATTTTGATAGCACATTCTTAAAGTTTGCAATATACCTACATTTTATCTTCTCTTTGAATACACAAACTTAATGCATTAATGCAGTTATTCCCAGAGCCATGGCATGAATTTTGGAGGCCCACTGCCACATTCAAAATTATTTGTTTAATTAATTTCCACATAACAACTTTGGGCCCCTTGCAGGGTTTGCAGGGCTTATGGGACAGCTATGGTTAATCCCCAAATAAAATATGCAATTGAGCTGTCATTATTTAGAGTCAACAAAGAATTCTGTTGTTGACATAAGGCAGCTGGAATAATCTTACTGTACTCTCATTCTATCTAGGTATTTTTACAACCTGTGATAGGACGACTCTTATCAGTAAATAGAGACCTGCATCAGATTCAGAGATTATATAATGAGGTGATACAGCAGTCCTCTGGGAATGAAGAACCTGTTCTCAACATTAAGGCTAGGATGGAAAAAGGTAAGACTTAAATGTACTTTTAAAAAAATAATTATCAGAAGCATCAAGACGTTATAATAAGGCTGCGACTATTCGTACCCGGGTACCAGAAGTGAGAGGTTGGGATTAAAAAACTATTTAAAACTTTATTGTTGGGTTTGTAAGACAAAATGAGGTATCAAATGAAAGATAATTGAATGAACTATATGTTTGTAAACTTACTTCTTCAGTTTAACTAAAACAAACTACCACAAATGACATCGGAATAGCTTGAGTCTAATGGTACCCGGGTGCGAATGGCGGCGCTGCGTGTCTGGGTCCATTTTGACTCAGTGCTTTTTGGATGTCATTTGTGGTAGTTTATTTTAGTTAAACTGAAGAAGTAAGTTTACAAACATATAGTCCATTCAATTATCTTTCATTTGATGCCTCATTTTGTCTTACAAACCCAACAATAAAATTTTAAATAGTTTTTTAATCCCAACCTCTCACTTCTGGTACCTGGGTACGAATAGCCACTTCGTTATAATAATTTATTTTTAATGTCTTTAAAAAACGTATTTATTTAAAATAATGAGAACTCATTTATCTTTCTTGTTGCAGCCATGTCTTTTTACTTGAATCGCAAGGCAGCACTCACACAACCAGAGTTGTTATCCTTGGCTTTTAATTTTCAAATCGCTTCATCAGCATGGCTCTGCCTATTAGCTACAACATCTCTGCCAAAGGCATCGGATGTTACTTCAGATACTCAGGTAGTTTGGCAATTTTTTGTGCAGCCACTGCAGTTTTATGTGTATGGTGACTTCACACTCTTGATAACTGCATTTAATTTGTTAACAATTCAGCAAGAGCCCAGTTTATAAAGTCATTCTAATGTGCATCAACTAAGGTAGTGGGTCATTTTATCTGGGGAATGCTACACATATCTGTGGGATTAAAAGATGACAACTCCTCCATTTTGTTATAATCTTGCCATATAGTTTTTACATGTAAAATTGTGGAGGAATCCTTATTTCATGTCATCATTTAAGTTTTTTACTCTATCATAAATTTTGTAATTTTATTTTTTGAATTACTGGATTTTTTAAAGTATGCAAATAGTTTTGGCGTATATTCTATACAATGGATTTCAGATTATTATTTTTTTTTTTTTATAAAGATTCAGCTTAAGGTTGGATTACTGCCTAGTTGGCCAAGCTTTAAGATTAAAACTTTTACTTTATTTGGATAAACTGTTTCAACTTGTCTTATTGTCTAGCTACCAGAGCTCAAGTTTCCCTTGTCGGAATCTGTGCCCCATGTGTTAGCTTGTGTGCCTGAGTTTATAGCTGAAAATATCTGCCACCTCATCAACCATATACACAGATTTGAAGACAGAGTACTAGAATCTGAGGATAAGAGGTAACAACCACTAGTTGGGTAACTAATCACTTATAAAGTAAGACTTTACTGGCATGCACATAAGAACCTTGTGATAAGGTATGGAATTATTACAGTCCATTTGATTCATTTTTTTGTTTTAAATTGACATAATTTAGATGGAAAAAATGTTGAATAACTAAAAATATGATACACAAAAATATTTTAAGAAACAAAATTTTAAGTAACTTTCTGTCTAAATACAGAAAGCGCATTCCAAAATTGTATATATTAAAAAAAAAAACACTCTTTTTCTTCATATAAGAAAGAGTCCTTTAATTGCTAACTAGATGCAATTTTTTTATTACTTTTGTGCAGATTAGAGCACCTTCTGTCATTTGTACTTGTGTTTATGAGTTCTCCAAAACGAATGAAGAATCCACATCTGAGGGCTGAGCTGGCTGAGATGCTGGCGTCTCTCATGCCTCTGCAAGCCAATGAGATTCATCCTGAAAGACTTCACGGATCCCAGTAAGAATGTTTGCATTTACATAAAACCTCATTAACATCGATAGATCAGCACCGTGCTTAATTATGTATTCATGCACTTAAAAATAACAAAGACAGAAGTTTTTTCATTCATCCTCAAATTTCATTACAAAATTTTAAGTTAATTATTTGAACCTCCCTATAGGTATTTCCGAGAACAGCTTTTTGAAAGCCATCCCCAGGTGGCGTACATACCTGAGACTTTGCTTCATGTTTTTGTCAGCATTGAAATGACTGGGGAGAGCGTAGCATTTGAACAAAAGTTCAACTACAGGAGACCAATGTATAATATTCTTAAATACATTTGGAACATACCTTGTCACAAAGAGAAATTAAAGGTAACTGTACTTCAACTTTGCCATTTTACTGGTCACAATTTTTAAACTTGTTAAATCTTTTCTGTTGCTTATTAGCTTTGGACATTAATCTGACTGCTAAGTGGTAATTTTCCCATTAAATAATTTTCAGAGTCTAGCAAAACACGCAGAGCAGAACATCATGTGCTCAGAACCACCGCTGTTTTTAAGATTTATCAACCTGCTGGTCAATGATGCCACATATTTATTGGACGAAGCCTTACGGGTCAGTGTGGGTTTCTCTTTAATTGAGACTTGGTATAAACAAAATCCAAGACCTTAAGGGTGTGTGTGTACAATGTACATTCACACTAAATCCTCAACTGGCAATAGTAGTACTACATAATTTTAAAGCAACATACAAGACCTTTGGGGTGTGTGTACAGTGAACATTCACATTCGCACTAAATCCACTACCGACGGCAACAGTGCTACATAATTTAACAGCGACATACAAGTTTTCAAAGAAGAATAGAGGCTGTGAAGCAACTTTCATTTATTTTTCGAAAAATTAAATACAAATTTAACACTCTTTATTCACTTCATTTGTTCAAAAGAATAGCTTATAAATATAATTTTATTAAGGTATTTAAATCATATTTAAACCTTTTACAATATTTATTGAAGTTAAAAAAAATATCACTTATTAACCTATTATATTTATCATTTAACCTATAAAATGTATAGATAGATTTTATTTTTAAAAAACTTTCAGACTTATGAAATTATCTTTTAAATCTTTTAGTGCATGGGCCAGATAAAAGAAAAACAAATGGAAAGAGATCGGGGAGAATGGAGTCGTCTACCGGAGGCACAGCGCCATGAAGAGGAAGCAAATCTCCAACATGTTTCTAGGCTGGCACAGTATCACAATGTTATGGGCAGTTCTACCATCAGCACATTGAGAATGATCACTGGAGAGATCCAGTCCATATTCTGTCATCCAACTTTTGTGGACAGAATTGCCAGCATGCTCAATTACTTCTTGTGTCGATTAGTAAGTCAGTATAATCTTTTAGTGGGAATGTTGTACAAACTGTCATAGTGCTATAATAATGCTTTAGACTTCACCATACATAGATTCCATGTCACTTGAATACTATAACTGGAAGCGACCAAAAATTTTATTGATTTCATATATTTTGACCACTCAACTTCTGTCAGATATCTTCGTTGCAAGTTTGTTCACATTCGTGATTCATTCTTATCTGTAAATTAACTTTTTATTCAGGTTGGACCTAAGCAAAAGGAGTTTTCTGTAAAAGACAAAGACAATTATGAATTTAAACCCCAAGAAACTGTCTCCAACATCTGTGCCATCTATTTAAACCTGCAGCAGAGTGATCAGTTTTGTCAAGCCGTCTTTCAGGACCAGAGATCTTATAGCTCACAGTTATTTGCACAGGTAAGGATTTAAATTTTGTACAAAAACTGTTACAGCAAGTTAAGCTTTTCTCAAAATTTAAAAAAAAAATACTTGTCAAAAATCATACTTTAACAGATGTATCAGAAAGTGATTCAATCTGAATGTAAGTTTCTGCTCCACAACAACAAAAATAAGAGTCAGGTTCTCCAAATATTTGTCAGCAGGAGACAGTGGGACAAACTTTGAGTTAAAAATTTCTTAAGAAAAAATTGAAATGGTTATGTATTATGAGTGGCAATCACTTCATTATTCACAGGCCAGCCAGGTGATGGAGAAGATTGGAGAATCCTCAGAGGCTGTTTTGGATTTTTTGCAGCTAGATGAAAAAATAAAGGTCAGCTGAACAATAAAATAGTCAATAATTTATTATTTTGAAATGGAAGTCATTTAAATCCATTTTTTTAAAATATTTTTAAATAACATGTTTTGGTGTTAGAAGATTTCTTTTCTGTAGCTCTAAATTTTCTGTTTACTGTTTGACCACAGGCCATGCAGACAACAAAGATGTCAGAAGAGCAAGCCTTAGCTGATGCGCCAGAGGACTTTCTTGATCCTATAATGGGGACATTGATGACAGATCCTGTGATGTTGCCATCTTCCCACAATATTGTGGACAGAAATGTCATTGCGAGGCACATTCTCAGGTACTTTACACATTTTGAGTATGTGCTATCAGTCATGCTATATCACATTGTGAGTGTTCATTGAAAATGGATTTTTTAAAATGTTTGTTTGAGCTGTCTAGCCAACAGTGATTTGTTGTAGGAACAAAATGTGTGGTTTGTTTAGTTTGTTATCCTGGAAAATCTAAATATTGCCTTATTAAAAGTAATGACCAAATAAAAAAAATAGTCCTCCATTGAAGAAGTCTAAAAAACCCTGAACTCACAGACCTGATTGGCATCAGTAGACAGAGCTTTTAGTTGCATTAAAGAAGACTTCTGCTTTGAAGAAAAATGTATATACAAATTTTCATTTTAATAAATAATACACATTTTAAAATATGTTATGTATATCATTAGAGCTTAACTTGAACCAAAATTGATTTCTCCAGTGATCAAACAGATCCGTTTAACAGACAGCCCTTATCTCTGGACATGGTCATTCCACAACCTGAGCTCAAGGCCAAAATACAAGCTTGGATAGAGGAAAGAATGAAAAATGTATAACAACGTGCTTGCTTAGGTGTTAGTAGGAAGTAGTGAACTAATGGGCAGTTTGGTCAGGCATAAAATCTGTAAAAGACAAAACTTAAAAATTTTAAGTTTAGTGTAAGAACATGTAAATATTTTAACTTACTATACATGTGCCTTCACAGTCTGTTATGAAAGGGACAAATTCTTGTGATGGTGTTTGAGTGAAACGATGAACACATTCTTGGGTTTTGGGTTGGTTTCAACACTTGGTGTTCATCTTTTATAAAAACAACTAAAATTACTTACTTACCATCTAAAGAATTATTTGAGACATATTTTCTCTCCTTTAAGATCCTTTCACAGAAATCCTTACTTAAATGACATAACCCTATTTAAGGCCAATACAACATTGAGTATCAATGTGTATTTTATAAAGAATTAAATAATCAAATACCAACACATTACAAAAATTAAAGTATTTTGTTTACAATGTTTGGAGGTTTGGGGGGGGGGGGGTAAATAAATATTAGTTAAAATGATAACTATAACATGTTTTAGCATGTTATCGCACATCTATTTGTTCTCATTCTTTATATTATGAATTTCCCCTATAAAAACAAACCAATCAATAGCAGTAAAGTGGTAACCTTCAGCAACCAATAGCTTCTGCACAAATGTCGACCTGTATGTCTTTACATTGTTTCTGGCAGGCAGTGCCAAGAGAGGAGCCGAGCCTTAAACATAACAATGTTTATTTTGATGTGTTTGGAATATAGATGAATTATGAGAACCTTTGTTATTATAACTTATTAAAACATGAGTACAGTTAGTGGTAAACATGAGCACAGTTAGTGCAAATAAACATAACTACCAATGATTATTATAATTAAGCCAAAAAAGCTTCATGTTCTAAATATCTGTTTTTTAAAAAAATGATAATCTATATTGTGTCAATGTGATAATCTTCACTGGATTATTTATTAACTCAATGCATTTATTTATTCATGATTGTGATGTTTTTAAATGCCTAAACGGATGATTTTATAAATGTTCTGTTTACATGACTAGTAAATAGCCTTTATATTTGTGTGCTTGTAGCTCAGCCGTGATTATTGTATTATGGGCTTGCAAAGGAATAGTATGTGCTGTTTATTTTTAAATGGTAAAACAGAGCTGTTTTTAACCCAGGAATAACAAATAAACATGTATGTGCTCCTATCTGATGGATGGATGATGGAATATGGAAGTAATATCAGGTTTTAATCTGTTTCTATGATATGGTTAACATGTGATGCATTATTTACAAATTTACCTTGTCTTCAGCTTCAAGAGTGAGTAGTGTATGAATATAATAGTCCCAGACAAATTAGTTTCTGTTTGTCTGTTGATATTCAGAATGTGCAGCAAAACTGGTGACTTCATAATTAAGCTTTTTAAATTTGCATTAAAATCCAAGTCATAAGTTGCACTATTAAATCGAGGTGGTCTCGGTGGGTCATTCACAGCTGTAGGTGGTCTTGGTGGGCCGTTCACAGCAGTAGGTGGTCTTCATACTTGTTAAGTCCTATGAAACCTTGATAAAACTATCATTTCAAACTTCTCTTTGAGTGGGAGGGATGGGTCGTGTGTGGGGGAAGGGAGGAGATGAACATAATGTCATAAAGTGGCTACTGCAGATACTCTTGTCCACACCATCAATGGTTTTGAACAGTTGAGATAATGCAAAGTATTTTGTGCAAGAATTTTCCTCCAAATTAGATCTTTTTAATTTTAATGGCATATTAAAGTTAGACATTTTTCAACTTTAATAATTTATATTGTCAATTTATCTTTCACCTTAACTGTCAGCTCAAACCGGGCAAACAGTCATTAAAATCTACGTTAATAATAAGTTAATTGATATGTTAATATGGTTAGACTAATTTAATACTTACAGTTTCTATATGTTGTCAACTCTAAAAAATGATTTGATATTTGTTTTCAAAATTATATGCACGGAGATCATAGTAATACATAATACTAATACAATAACCTTTTGGTGATTTGATATATTTAGGGATGTTGCTTGCACGTCTTAGCTATTCATGATAAAAATTAAAATCAAAAACTTTTCAACCTTTTTTTTTTCAATCCTGTGGCGCACTAATTACTAACCCATAAAATGCTACAACAAACCATTAAAAATTTTGGTTAATATTGTACAGTATAAGTGGATATCGGAGTGCAGACAAATTATTTCTAAAATCCTTTAATTAAGTATAAAATGTTATATGTTTGCCACTTTAGACTGCGAGGTTTTCACAGTCTGTGCAAAGGGGTTTGTTGAAACACTCTTCTGACAGAGAAGTTAATTTAGTTAAAAGCTATCATACATGACTGTGTTGTAGACACAGCTGCAAGTAAAACATTTTTGGAGAAATATCATTGTTTTGATGTGTCAAGCACAGTAAGCAACAACCAGCGCTTTCCTATTGGGAGGTATTTCAGGATTTTAATATAATCATCTCTTAAAGATACTTGTTTGGTTTTGTGCATAGAAGTATTTAGAAGGCTCTTAACTTTCCTTAACATAATCTCACATTGTACCATAGCTGACATGAATTCTCATTACGAGTGTCCTCATCAACAAATCTCCCACGCCAGCACGGGGTCCCAGTGATGTTATTTGGCACAAAGTTACAAAGTGGAATAGGTTAAAATTGGATGAGAATCTCAGGGAGTCAACAACAATTCTCTTCAACTTCAGCAGACACAAAATACAATCATTGATTATACTTAGCATCAGGAAATAAATGAACGGCACAAAAGAAAAACAAAATTTAAATAGTTTTATTTTTGGTGTATTTCCCTCGATATTTTTAAAACAATATAGCTTTTATTGTACCCATAAGTTTAGTTCAGGGTACTGGCAATAATTGAGTTCAAGTAGAATATATGTTGTTCTTGTGCTGTGCAGGTAACGGGTTAGCTCAGTACACCTTTGACTTTTACTGCACCGGTAACAGTTTAGTTCAATATACTTTAACTCTACTGGTAACTGTTTAGTTCAATATACTTTAACTCTACTGGTAACTGTTTAGTTCAATATATCTTTTACTGAACCAATAACAGTTCAATTTTACCACAATCCGATTCTCTATGTATTACTTTGACTCAGTTTTCTGTCAACATATTGTCAAAATGTGTGAAATTATTGAAGACATTTTATAATACTGGAGAAGACAAACTAAAGTGCTACCGAAGAATCAAAATGCCACTTTATTTATTTATTTATTTAGGCATTTTTATATAGCGCTTATCATAAAGCTCTAAGCGCTTTACAATTATTAAAACATGTAAACTAAGTAAATAAAAATGAGACACTTTAAGGTTATTGTGTTTTGCATCATACCATGTTGGTTTAGGTGTAGATTTTATGTTACAAAGTCAAAACGTCTGTCAGAACAGAACATAACCAGGATATTTGCAAACCAGTATTTTATACTTATTTAATCACATAATTTGAAGGTATTTTAGATTTATTTAGTCACATAATTTGTAAAGTATTTTTGAATTATATTGTCCCATAAATTGAAATTATGAAAGAAATTTCAGAACTATAAAGTCTCACCTACAGCTACATACATTACATGCATCACTCCTTTGACATCTGTTTTTCTATAAATATAATGGGCATATTAAATCATTTTGTATGTTCCAGACATTCAGCATTATGTTGACATTGCTCTTCTCTTCTAATACACTTGCTTTATTTGATATTCCGCAATAGTGACAGCGCAGATTCATTTCTAAATAAAGTGATGTCATACATTTTCTTCAGTTGATGGTTTGGGGAAATATTTTTGTTCCATTATCTTACAATTTTTAGTTAGCGGTATTATAACTAGAATAATCTAAGTTTTCACCATTTAGCTTCTGTTTGATTCTAATGTGAGAAGTCATTTGTTGGTGATCTAAACAGCAGTGCTTTTCATTCATATCTAGAGGGGAAATCCAGCTTCAACTTCATCTCAATCAACAGATTCATGTTATCTGTACAAATTCATCTTTCGTGTGCAGAGTTTGAGATGTTGCTATTGGTTCTTAGGTTTGAAGTCCTTTGTTTTACTGTCTTGTTGTACTTCCACTGTGATAGCAGCTTAAGCTTATCTCTCACATGTTCACATGTCCACAATACATCAGTGCTAATCAAAATCTTGGTCTGTAGATGGACATTGGTCTATGAGCCCTTGGACATCAGCCCACCAATGGGGAAAAAAATTAATATTATCCAGAACAAAGAATAGACACTGGTCCCTGCTGGAAAATTTCTGCTGGTTCATTACAATAGTTTTAGAACCACTGCTTTGAGGTGTTTTACATGTTACAGTTTTCTTTGAGTCTGTCACATGCAATAAGGTGCCGAAGGTGAGATGCGAAGGTGAGATGCGGCAGACGCCTAGGACATCCGTGTTACTCTGTGTGGCCCTAAACTTGGCTCTTTTGGTCTTAGGGGTGCACAACCAATGAGTTGCCTCTGAGTGTCATCAAACCTCTGTGAGCCACCGCCTACTTCTGAGCATGTGTATGTCCACTGCATTGGTTTTCTGCATGTGTCTGATGAGCTTATTATTTTGAAAATATCTATTCCAACCCAAGATTGAGCATTCAAAGAGCATTTGTTTACAACTGTGTGTAGACTCAAAGGCCTTGAACCCAACAAGAATGCCATTAGCCACAGCAACACTGAAATGTTGACTTGAGTAATTGAACCAAAACAATATTAACATTATTATTTCAGCATAGAAATATTCCCTTGTGTTGCCTACAAAAAATGTGTGCAATAAGATACATTGTTTAAAAAAAACATTTTTTGAGTTGTATTATTCATTTTAAAAAGATTGTTGGGGTGTAAGTATATATAAGATTGCTTGTTTTTTCCCAGCATTGTCCAATATATATTTTCATCTACTGAATCAAGCACAATCTTAAGACATAGATTAAGGCCATGATTTGTATTATTATTTTCAAAATAATTATGCCATTCTATAGAACGCCATTGTTAAGTAAATATGTATCTCAATACATATTAATATTAAATTTGATATATAATATATTATTCAGATATGTTCAACTTTGCATTAGCTTTCATTTTTGACAACAAATATTGCATTAATAAATTGTTGCCATGATTTAAATAGGGCTAGTAGACTTTAGTAGGCCCAGATGGCTATAAAAGTAGTTCCAAGCAATCAAAACAAAAGTGGTATGTGC